AATATAATTTATTTACCACTCGGTCGATATCAAAAGAGTGAGAAGGAGCTATATTTTATCTTATCATCAGAGAGCAAAAAAGCGAACAGAACAAGGCTACAATAATTATTTTTATAATAATAATTGAATAATATGAACCACCACTACATTCAATTAGTTACACATTTTTAGATTAATCATTGGGTATAACGAATAAAGAATTTCCCAATTTTTATTCTGGTTTTCCTTTAATGATTTCCACGTAGACGTATTACCATGACTTTACACTTTTGCTTGTTCCGCCACGTGTCTCATAAAGAATTATTACACGTGATTCTATTATGACACAAGAATATATTTATACAATTTCTCGATAACTATTTTCATGTTATTTAGTTTGCCCTCTTTAAACATTAGTGAATTAACTAATTTCGGTGTCTGGGAAACTTCCATAGCTGTACCAGTGTGCTTTACCGACAAACGCCTACGCCAATGTATGTAATCAGTGGATGAAATAAATGCATTCTACATGTACGTGGATTTGTCTTTGCATTTCTTCATATGTACTCTCATATCAAGAATAATTTCAGACAATATTTTTAACCGAAAGGGACCGCAAATGTAGAATACATAGATGAATAATCTTAGAGCATTGCAACTTAATATGAGAGGCGTAGGACCTCCGCCGTAGGTTAAAAGAAGAGGAAACTATATCGTTTAAGTTATGACCATGGAACGATATGGAAAGTTGCATTAATATTGTATAAGAGCCTTACCGAACGGTGAACATTTGTTAACAATTTGAACGAAAGCTAAGACAATTTTATTTCGGGTGTACAGGGCTGATCGACAGCCCTCGTTGACAGGTATTTCAAAACGACATTCAATATCTTAACGAAATTAAATGAAAGAATACTTACAAGTGCTTCTAGACGACAAGGGATCGATAACAATTAATTAAATAAACCTAAAATAAAAAATTTACCAATTAATATATCTTACCTTTCTTAATTTTATTAACTCAATCATTGTTGTCGACGCTGGCAACGACAAAGTCCTCGACTATTGAAAGCGCATACTATTTGAATGATTAGATAGGAGCCGTCATTTGCAACCGTGACTGTTTTGTATTTCTAAGTTTCGCGTTGTCGGTGTGTAAACAACGTTCTCGAGATAATGATCGAGGACAGAAGACCCTTGAAACCCTAGATTCATAAACAATCGTTTAATTTGACAGAATTAGATCTGCAGAGTTTTACGTTTTTGACAAATGTATTTATGCTCCTGCTGGTTGAGCCCGAGGGCTGCAGGATGAGACCAGGCGAAGGAAGTGGGGGCGTACGAGGACACTGTGCTTGGTTACCACAACCAGAATCCGAATTGGAATTGCAGATGGCGCCCGACCTGCGCCACTTCGGCCTCGCCGTCGTTCCTGTCCGAGTTGGTAAAAGAGGAGGGAGGGGCTACTGGTTCGCTCGGTTCCTTCGTAGTCTTCGTACGATTCATCCTCCGGTCCGTCGGCTACTGTTATTAAACGCCGACGACGACGAAGAGGTGTTTCCGACGATAAAGTACGGCATCGAGATAATAAGAGGAGCACGAGCGTGGCCCCCGCGGCGACTCGTAAGGAGAACCAGAGCGATATAGGAGAGAGAGAAGAAGGGAGGGAGCCCGAGGGTCCAACCAGCGTATCCGATTTTCTCGGGCATCGAAATCGTAGGACGTCGCGATGGTAAATCCGGCGGCTGTTTCTCGTTTGGCTCTGCAGACCGCTCGGGATTTATCAATCTGCCGTGTACCTATTCCCAACGGTCGTACGATCCGGAAGATAACCTACTACTGCAACTGAATTAACTGCTCCGCTCGAGGTTTGTTTTCTGTCAGCGAATCCGAGATTGATTCTCTCCTCCCCGTTTCTGTTGGCTCGCGCGAGACACGCACACGCCTCGAGAGACGTGCACATAACACTCTGTGTACGGCCTGTCGGAGAGCGGCGGTCGTTCGACCGTAAACCGGAAATCACTTGGAGAAACGGAAATCGTGTACGCGTCTCGGGAAACTGGATCCTCTTCTTTCTCTGTCCCTCGTATATACACCTTGCNTTAAATTTAATAACTATTACTTAATATTCTTTGCAATTATTTACTACTGTTCAAAATAAAACTAGTATATATACTAGTTAAATATAACTATTATATAAAATGCGAATATAATTTATTTACCACTCGGTCGATATCAAAAGAGTGAGAAGGAGCTATATTTTATCTTATCATCAGAGAGCAAAAAAGCGAACAGAACAAGGCTACAATAATTATTTTTATAATAATAATTGAATAATATGAACCACCACTACATTCAATTAGTTACACATTTTTAGATTAATCATTGGGTATAACGAATAAAGAATTTCCCAATTTTTATTCTGGTTTTCCTTTAATGATTTCCACGTAGACGTATTACCATGACTTTACACTTTTGCTTGTTCCGCCACGTGTCTCATAAAGAATTATTACACGTGATTCTATTATGACACAAGAATATATTTATACAATTTCTCGATAACTATTTTCATGTTATTTAGTTTGCCCTCTTTAAACATTAGTGAATTAACTAATTTCGGTGTCTGGGAAACTTCCATAGCTGTACCAGTGTGCTTTACCGACAAACGCCTACGCCAATGTATGTAATCAGTGGATGAAATAAATGCATTCTACATGTACGTGGATTTGTCTTTGCATTTCTTCATATGTACTCTCATATCAAGAATAATTTCAGACAATATTTTTAACCGAAAGGGACCGCAAATGTAGAATACATAGATGAATAATCTTAGAGCATTGCAACTTAATATGAGAGGCGTAGGACCTCCGCCGTAGGTTAAAAGAAGAGGAAACTATATCGTTTAAGTTATGACCATGGAACGATATGGAAAGTTGCATTAATATTGTATAAGAGCCTTACCGAACGGTGAACATTTGTTAACAATTTGAACGAAAGCTAAGACAATTTTATTTCGGGTGTACAGGGCTGATCGACAGCCCTCGTTGACAGGTATTTCAAAACGACATTCAATATCTTAACGAAATTAAATGAAAGAATACTTACAAGTGCTTCTAGACGACAAGGGATCGATAACAATTAATTAAATAAACCTAAAATAAAAAATTTACCAATTAATATATCTTACCTTTCTTAATTTTATTAACTCAATCATTGTTGTCGACGCTGGCAACGACAAAGTCCTCGACTATTGAAAGCGCATACTATTTGAATGATTAGATAGGAGCCGTCATTTGCAACCGTGACTGTTTTGTATTTCTAAGTTTCGCGTTGTCGGTGTGTAAACAACGTTCTCGAGATAATGATCGAGGACAGAAGACCCTTGAAACCCTAGATTCATAAACAATCGTTTAATTTGACAGAATTAGATCTGCAGAGTTTTACGTTTTTGACAAATGTATTTATGCTCCTGCTGGTTGAGCCCGAGGGCTGCAGGATGAGACCAGGCGAAGGAAGTGGGGGCGTACGAGGACACTGTGCTTGGTTACCACAACCAGAATCCGAATTGGAATTGCAGATGGCGCCCGACCTGCGCCACTTCGGCCTCGCCGTCGTTCCTGTCCGAGTTGGTAAAAGAGGAGGGAGGGGCTACTGGTTCGCTCGGTTCCTTCGTAGTCTTCGTACGATTCATCCTCCGGTCCGTCGGCTACTGTTATTAAACGCCGACGACGACGAAGAGGTGTTTCCGACGATAAAGTACGGCATCGAGATAATAAGAGGAGCACGAGCGTGGCCCCCGCGGCGACTCGTAAGGAGAACCAGAGCGATATAGGAGAGAGAGAAGAAGGGAGGGAGCCCGAGGGTCCAACCAGCGTATCCGATTTTCTCGGGCATCGAAATCGTAGGACGTCGCGATGGTAAATCCGGCGGCTGTTTCTCGTTTGGCTCTGCAGACCGCTCGGGATTTATCAATCTGCCGTGTACCTATTCCCAACGGTCGTACGATCCGGAAGATAACCTACTACTGCAACTGAATTAACTGCTCCGCTCGAGGTTTGTTTTCTGTCAGCGAATCCGAGATTGATTCTCTCCTCCCCGTTTCTGTTGGCTCGCGCGAGACACGCACACGCCTCGAGAGACGTGCACATAACACTCTGTGTACGGCCTGTCGGAGAGCGGCGGTCGTTCGACCGTAAACCGGAAATCACTTGGAGAAACGGAAATCGTGTACGCGTCTCGGGAAACTGGATCCTCTTCTTTCTCTGTCCCTCGTATATACACCTTGCCACCAGATCCGAGTCGTTTTTATTGTACGGATCGCTCGGAGATTACACGGTTTATCGAATAACGACGCAGCCACGTCGAATAGAATTGCCGCCGCAGACCGTCGAAGAGAAATCTATGCGTAGAATAATGTTTTAATGTCCCAACGACATCATGACTCTCGCTGCGATCGGCCGTCGTATCGCATGAACCGGATGTCGGGAATAACAAAGACCGACCGTCGGACGAAGTTTTATTCACAGCGACCAAGTTGTTCCTCCGATAAGGAGAACGAAATTATTTTCCTTGTAACACGGCGCAGTCGATGCCAATAAAAAATGAGCTTGGAGTAAAATTATCGTAAATAAAAATATCGAAACATACATTTTCTGTGATCACCGGAGATATTTCTTTTGAAATGTTTCGATGAAGATTCGTTTTGTCGATTTCATCGCTCAGGCGATCTTACGAACACGCGAGAGTACTAGTTTCCAGTGATCGATGTGTCTGCGCGGGCCACGTATCGACGTTAGCACAGGTATCCGAGAATCGATGGAGGGACACTCTCGTAAAACATGATTTTCTTGTTATCGATATTCCGTCGTGCGAGCATCCGCTCAGAGGGCGAGCATTTCTTCGTGGGTGAATTTCGGTGTCTTCTTCGTCATCAGAGTTTCATTCGGAAGAAAAAGAAAAATGGCGGCGTGTAGCGTGTAGATCGCGCGACCACCGAGCGGTGCTCCGTGTATTTCCGTAACGTGCACCACGGGGTCCTCCGTCACGGTCCGATAAACCAAGAGAATTCGAGGAAGTGTTACCTTCGAACCGAATGTGTCGCATCGGGAGACCGATGAATTTTAATTTACGGGTAGAGCAGTCGTTTTAAACATACATACACGTGAACAGAAGAGAGAGAGAAAGAGAGAGAGAGAGAGAAAAGGCGTGAGAGAGAAAGAGGGAGATGTGTGTACGCGATCGTAGACCCGCGGCTCGTCACGTTAATGTCATCGGGAAAGAGAAAACGGTGTAGAGCGATGGAGAAGTGAATGCCGTTCTCCTTTTTTTTACCCTGCCGCGAGATACGCGGTCCCGGGAGGAGGCTGAGGGGAATTAAAAGAGTATTCCCGATGCGCGACAGGAACACGGGAGGACGTACGTGGGACAGAACGAGCCTCGTCCAAGATGTCAGGAAGGCTGCCCCGTCTGCGTGCACTTCGGCCACGACCCCAGCAATCCAAGAACGAGCTACAAAAGGAAGGTAACCTTAAAGAAGACCTTAAGGAAGCCACGATGAAGGAACAAGAATCGCGAACCAGTGCCGAGGAACTTTCGTTCGAAGATAAAGACGATGATTCCGCGAAGGACAGCTTAAAGGGCGAGCATGACGGGCTTCTCGACTGTACGGTGCCCTCGCAGAGTTACGAATGCAAGACTTGCAAACCGCCGAAGCCACTTCCGAGTCTTAAGGCTTACCTCGATCATTTGAAAAAGGAGCATAAACAAAAGGTATATACTGTTATCATTCTTGTTATTTCGAACTAGGGGAAGACGAATCCGTAATGGAGTTCTATTTGTACTTTTTTCGCTTCCATAAATAGAAATATAATACAATTAAATCACGCACCGAACGATAATAAAATAGAATTATTAAAAAATTCTACATTGTTTATGACAATTTCATTTTGAAATACTTATTCTCATATTTTTTTTTATTAACACGGGACATTCGTTAAGGGCACTTTTATTATTCAAGAAATTGACTGCAATCTGGATAGAGTTATTGTTGACTTTGTAAGGAGCGCCTAATGGTTTCCAGGGAAAATTTGTACGCGATGCTGGAAATAGATGTTCAATGTGTCCATATATTGCATTAAACTCAAGGGACCTTGAAACCCACCAAAGAGTGCATCATTTAAAAAGGAGATTTTTTCGATGCGCTAAATGCTCTTATGTAACACATGTGCGTGCTCGTTACACGAAACATGTGAAGTATCATTCTATGCCAATGATCAAATGTGATGCCTGTGATTTTCGTACGCCATACAAGGTTAATGCAATTCCCATAAAATGTAAACTGTTTGTTTTCATAGAAAACCAATAACTGTGAACTTACTTTGTACAGTGGAATTTAGACAGACACACTAGGAACCATGGAGGAGGTGGAGCTTTTCAATGCCGTGCCTGTAATTTCACAGCTGACATCAGGCAGAGCTTGACAGTGCACGAGACCAATCACCATGAGCCACCTGTAGGACAAACTAATCGCAAGTCTAATGCACCTTTTGAGCGTAAGCCGAGAAATAGTCCTAAGCGTTACAATCAGGTAAAATATGACAGTTATGTCGATAAAAATTTATAGACATGTTCTAGATGAGTTTCAAATCTACATGTATTATGATTTTAGGTTGGCGCGAGCGACTTTCGGGAAACGCTTCATATTTCCGGAAGTACGACTGTGTCCTTAAGCCCTGGAGACTCGTTTATGTCCGATCAATCGATGAATTCCGTAGAAGATAAAAGAAGTGCAATAGCTAATGCAGAGTGCATAGCACTGAAATGCGAAGAGAAGGGCTGCCAGTTCATTACCGCGTGGGATTCCGAAATGCAGAGACACTTGGCAGAATGTCACGCCCCAGTTACACCGAATAAGTCTAGGAAACCATTGCCAATGTTAATTCCTTTAAGTCCTGCTAAATCCAATAATACTGCCGGTGGATCCTCCACGACATTGTTAAAAGTTCCGCGAGTAAGAGTGCGACCGGAACTCGCTCAAATTGCCAGAGACACAGAACTGGCTAGGTTGTATGGAAATAAAGAAGTTAGTCATCTTCTTTTTTTTTTTAATCCGTTATATGAATTTTGTTTGTTAGTAATCTGAACGTACTTCCTACAGGTCAACAACTTAAAGAAGGATACTAATAACGCAGCAGATTTGTTTGAAAAAAAAAATGCGTCCTTCTTTGATAAGCTAAAGGAAAAACTTACTACATCGGCATCAATAAATAACGGAGTGGCGGAGGTAGCAGTAAGTACCACGAACGATTTGAAATGCTGGTGTACATTTAAAGCTAGTAGCATGGAGGAGCTGGCTTGTCACAAACAAACACACCACACTGCTCTCAGTGTATCTGTGGGCACGACGCGTTGCCCAAAGTGCAGAAGACGTTGCAAAAGCTCGACTGATCTACAAGCGCATATGCAGTGTTGTCGCTCGACGAGTAACGATGCGTCCATAGACAGTAGCTTAGAAAAATTATCGAATTGTTCAGAACTACGTGTGACCTCGTATCGCGGTGAATATGCATTCCCAGCGCAAACGGATTGGGACGTAAATCTCAGTGGACTCAATTCTTCTGGATCATCGGTATGATGTTTCTATAGAAATAATCTATCTATACATACTTTATCTAACCGCGTGCACATGGAATAATGAAATAAACACACGCACACGAATGAATAGACGAATTGCAATACGAGAGTCAACAGATCTGACTATATACATAACATATATCTTGTACACACGTTAAATTTTTATATACTAAGTGTTTTGATTGCAAGCATCCCGTATGACCATTACATGATAATACACAATACGCAGAGTGCCCGATTCGATTTTATCATCTGAAGTATTTTCTTTAGGCTTCGATGTTTCGATAGAGTCTCTCTTATTTTATTGAAACATTTAAGATACAGGAGATAATGCAGAATGACAAAGTCGGATGGAATATACCCCCATACTTAAAACGTACTTCAGCTTGAAGTTACGATCATTTATTTTAAGTATGCGATGCTGTTACGATAAATTGTTGTTAGTGTTTGTATATTCAATATTTTTTTTTTGTTCCTTTTTGTTTATGTTTGTACATACATCTTTTTATTATTAAGAATGTGCTTTCAATGTTTCCCTTATGGCGATCGAGACCGTAGCCAATTGTGTTTCGAACTTGTTTAACAGTTTATTTTGATAAAGGCAGTAAAATCTTTTGTCAGGTTGAAGGCACCTCAGCGCATCCAAGTGGCCGACGGGTATTCAAATGCCCGCATTGTCCATTTTGGGCATCCACCGCAAGTCGCTTTCACGTTCATATAGTCGGTCATTTAAATCGGAAGCCATTCGAGTGTTCCCTGTGCGCGTACCGCTCTAACTGGCGGTGGGACATCACAAAACATATTAAACTTAAAGCAGCTAAAGATCCAGTTCATATGACTGCCAGGGTACTTATGACGGATGAAACCGGTCGACGGAATTATTCCAAGTATAACAAGTATCTTGCACAGGTGAAAGCACTAATTTCACTTACATTAAGCCGAGCTAGATTACTAGTTGTTAGCGAACCAGTGCTTGTCGATATTGTTTTCTAGGCGCACTGATCTTGCTCTTTTATTTTTGTTTACATCTACGACAAGCACCAGTGATGATCCTTTTGAACTGTTCTATCCGTAGAACAATAAAAAACGTATCTCGATGGGAAAATAAAAATTGATTTTTATCGAAGCGCTTGGACACTTGATTGGTGTTATGATTTCATATTTTTATTGAAATTACAAGCATATTCTTAGTAATTGAAACCGACACGATAATAAGAATAATATTTAAATGTTTCGATGCTTCGAAAGTGACCTTCAGTTTTTTTCAAAGAAATTCTCAGTGTGCCGATTAGTCGTTTTTTTATGCCGAGTTATACCGAGTCTATTTCCCGTCGCGCAACAGCAATGTTTCGCGCATATATGGTAGAAACGACTGCATATCAAACGTAATCCGTTTCTGTACTTTCTTAGGTGGAACAACAGTCATGGGACGAGCAAAATATGGAGGAGCGTAGCGTAGAAGAATCTAATTCTGATGAGCCACCGACTAAGTTATTGATTATGAACAGTAATGAGTATTTGCAAACGCCGGAATTTAGTTCTACTCCGGTTTCGATTGTATCCACGAACGAAGGAAGTAACGTTAACACTATCAATATTGGCCTAAGACCACCGCCTCCGTTAAAAGCTGCTGCTAGAAACCGCGGTCAATCTTTGCTAAAAAATAATTTGATCACGTCACACGGACAGAGTGGATCCACTTCCGCTACGCTCTCCTCCGATGACAATAAACGCACCATGTGGAAGTGCAAACGTTGCAACTTTAGACATTCAAATAGAGATACTGTGTCGTTGCACGTGAAATCGCACAGCGAATCAGAGCAACGCCATGAAGACGAGAAAGTAAACATTGTTGCATATTTTATGGATAAATGCTTCAATCTTTTCATTATAGTTTCTGTGTTTTAACTCGACTTATATTTTCCCTGTAGAATCCATTCGGTTGCGGAGACTGCCCATTTTCAGCGCCGGATGCTGCAACTTTGTCTATGCATAGAATTCATCATCGCCCCAATTTAGAAGCCATTTTCAAATGCTACCTATGCCCCTATTATGTCAGCACGAAAGCGTATGTATTTGAACTTTGTAAAAATTAAACTGAACACTTTCAGAGAGAAGAGACTATGTATGTTTGATCGTTGCAGAGAACTTCTGGACCACGTCAGGCTTCACGGCGAGGAACTTGCAGTCGTACACCAACAGAGTACGGATTATAATTTTTCATCGGTTAAATATAAAGCGCAACAGGCTAATTCCGATAACAGTAAGTCTGCTGCACTTTTGGTGATTCGTTGCTGAGCGTCATTTGTTGCTTTCCGTTTCAGATACCAGTCGCATGAAACAGGAGAAGTCTATAGAACAGGTGATTCACATAACCACGCAGAACAATGTGACTTGTATATCAAACGCCTCGAAGAACGCCAACGCACCGCCGCCACTTCTGTTGGATACTCGAGCACTGCCAGACGCGCCATTGGTCTGGGTGTCTAGACTGGACGGCACCCTCGCGAAGATGTTGAAGTGTCGTCATTGTCCGTACGTGTCTTCTAGACGCGCAGAGGTTCGGGATCACGAGACCATGCACTTGGATACACCCAGCCAGGGGCCCGTTATCGCTTGCACAGACTGTAGTTTCACCTGTACCCGCCGAGAAATCATGGTCGCTCACACGGAAATGCATTCCGGGTCATTGGGTACTGTTCACTGCTTGGTAGATGACTCTAGACCCGACTCCCAGCAACTGAATGACCTGACCACGCTCCTCGGATTTACTCACACCCCTGTGTTAGGTTCGGAGCCGGACCTGCGTGACTCCAGACTGGTGCATTGTTGTAGCAAATGCCCAGCGCGATTCCTCTGCGAAAAAGAACTGAGGATCCATTTGCGGTACCATTCCACAGAGTTGGCGTATTCGTGTCAATGGTGCTCGTACGCTGCTCGCCAGCCGGCTCACTTGTTGGCCCATCAGAAGGCGCACTCCACGGAGTATCAGGAGCGTACGAAGTACTTATTGTCTCTGTACGGACACTCTCAAAGGTACCCACCTCCTACCACGGCTTGCGTCGAAGCGGGTGGCCAGGATTCAAGCAATCGAACGTCCACAGTCGCGTGGATCGTTGTCGAGATCTCCGAGACCTCGAGTAATAACTTTAACAATATTAGCAATGCAAATCAACCGAGAACCGGGAACCAGGTGTTCACCTGTGCCAAATGTCCTGCCCGTTACTTTAAGTTGGATGCTTTGGAGTATCACATGACCCTGCATGGATCGAACAATAGGTTTAAGTGCACTGAATGCGACTACTCCTCGAAGACTGCTCAGAACCTAGTTAAGCACCAGGTAGTTCATAGACGACAGAACGAGACCAGCGAGATAGCTGCGAATCTGTCACCGCCGCCTTCTGACCCTCAGTTCGGACTGTACATGCGGGGCAACCCGAACTTTGTTTATCCTGGTTACTTGAGAAACGGCAGATTGAAAGAGAAACGATATAAATGTCACAAGTGTCCATCCGCTTTCGAGAAGCGAGAACAGTACAGGGTTCACCTGACGTTGCACGGCGCGAAACAGAGATACCGTTGCGACACCTGCGATTACTCCGTCAAGTACTATGCAAATTATATTCAGCATCTGAAGAAACATCAAGCAAACGCCGAAGCTCAAGCTTCTCGTAGGCAATTTGAGGACGACACGATTACCATCGATAGCGACACTGTTTCTGATAATGTAGCATCCGTGTCCCGTTCTGGGAAGACTCTTAAGTCGTCCTGCAGCTCGTCGACCACGGTGTCCCTGAACGGGGCATCGATACTAAACTATGGCGGTATGCAGGCCTCCAATCAGGATAGACAATCATTGATATTAATGCAGAAGAAAGGAATGCTCGTCTCGCATAACGAAGAAGTGGATACCCTACGCTGTCAGAGCTGTCCCTTCTCGACCTGCGACAAAGACGCCATGGACTCCCATAAACGTCGCCACGGTATAGAACGAGTGACACCGTCCTGTCCCCATTGTGATTATAGACCAAGAAAAGACGAAAATATTGGCGAACATATCAGGCTGCACTTTACTAGACTTTACAAGCCTGAGTCCTATCTAATCATAGAGTTCTTAACGTTAACGATGAAGAAACTATCGAACAATGGAAAGGAGGAGAAGCAGAAGTCAACAGAATTATTATTCAAAGAATATCAAGATGGAAGATTCTTCCCCGTTAGCGATACTAATTCATTCGGCAACAGTTCGACCGTAAATAGCTGTAAGGAGAAAGTTTTAGTGGATCCTAATACTGGAGAGACGAAACATTTGAGCGCTTAAGAACCATTATAGGGAAACGATCATGTAATATACACATTTCTGTATATATAATATACACTTGAGTGTCGTTGTATGACGCATTTTAGGCGTTTCTGTACAACTTTTTTTAGATCATTCATTGAATCATAGAATCAATCATTTAAACTATTGTTACAATTTGAATAGTAGGCCATACATAAGGAAAGGAGATGTTTGATTTGTTCGTAGTGCGGCTGTCTTAGCTTTTATTTAAGAAGTTTGCATGAGAACGAGTGTGCAATTAATTTTTGCCTGTTCGCTATTGTAATATTTCTGTACAGATGAAATTTTTCCGTTATAAATAATAACGTCGAGTGCCGCCACTGTGATTATAAGCGAGCACGATCATAGTCACTATATATCAAACTCGTTTTGAGATTAAACGTGTCGTAATTACCGAAACCACCTTATTTCATTCGGTTATCAATTTCACCAGGTATAACACGTTATTGTAAATACAAGAGTTAAAAAACTATCGATCTTGTACGATACAATAATAAACAAGTGCTATTATAAATCGGTGGTAAACCTGTTCTGTTCCGTATCGCCCGCCAATTTCGTCAATTGTTCTTCAGTTTCGATAATTCGATTTGATGAATTCAAATTGCTGCAACGTAGATATAATGTGTTTTATTTTAATTCGGTGAAATTGAATAATATAACAACAAACGGATAGTGGACAGAAGTCGTCCATGATAGTCGGAAACCGGGTCTACGTTGAAAGCGTCGGCAGATGAAATTCCGAGGAGAGAGTCGGTGGGATCAATAAAATCCTTGTCGTAGAGTCGCGCATGACGGAATTTATTTTACGAATTTCTTAAGGTTATGAAAGGAACCCGTGTTAGAAAACAGTGTCACACTGAACGTGACAGGTAAACAACCGTGGTAGATTCACTTAAATGCAGAAAAATGTTCGAGGGTGCTATAGCAGCGTTCCTGAACCGGCTCCTGGGCAAGTACGTTGAAGATTTGGACACTGAGCAGTTTAATGTCGGAATTTTTTCCGGTGATACATGTTTAACCGATCTTAAGTTGAAACCCGAAGCTCTGGTAAGATTTTGGCGGTGTCTTGTCCGAGATGTCTACTACAATTTTCATTGAAAAATCACAATGATATTCGTGCGAATGATTATTTGCAGTACCAGCTTGGTCTTCCCATTAGGGTAGAAGTAGGGCTCATAGGAAAGATCGTTTTAAAGATTCCATGGTCTGGATTATTTTCCCAACCCATTATCCTCAGTATCGAGGTAGAAAACTTATTTTTCTTTTGCCATCAATTGCTAGCTGTATGCTTAACAATTTTATTTGAACATTTAAGGATGTGTACATAGTAGCTGTACCTGCTGCTTATGGTACTTATGATGCAGAAGTACAAAAGAAATTAATAAGGGCTGAAAAGAAAAAGATATTGGAAGATTTAAGGGAGGATGAAGTTCATAAAGCAGGTAGCTTATAAAGTTAAATTTGATCTTTGAGGCAGTTGCTAACATATAGAATAATTTTTAGAATTCTTTGATAACATATTCACGTCAGTGACAAAGAACTTTCAAATTACTATCAATAATGTACATATTAGATATGAAGAAAAGTTAAATGATTCTCTGTGTGCATGTGGTATCTGTATACAGAGTATATCTGTGATGACTACAAACAGGTAATTGTTTTCTTAATTTATTTCATGATTCATGAAATATGTGTTGCTAATTGAAAATAAATTCTAGCAAATGGAAACCTGGTGTTTGTGGAAATAATGTGAACACAGTTTATCAATTAGTAAGAGCAGAATCTCTCAGCATGTATATGGATCATGACACTGAATCTTCTCTCATGAGCAACAGGTGTGATTGGGACATATCTACTTTCCTAGATTGGAAAGACACAATGCATAGGTCTCTGCAAACTTTTGGTGTTGGAAGCAAGGAATTTCAATTCCGTACGTTTGTAAGCTGTAATTTAAAACTCTGCAATGGCATGCTAAGATGTCCCGAAACAAAATTAAAAAAAACTTTTTTTTATATATTTTGAGCAATTGAATTTTATAGCATTAAGCTATATACCTAGAAGTATTTTATACAATTTATAGTTGGAGAAAACAGTATATGTCCTTGCAAGGTACATTTTGTTACAAAATAGTTACTTATTCAGTAGAATTGACATTATTTGAATGGTATTCTAGTTCTAAAACCTTTCACGGCAAAAATAAAGGTAATTATACACAAAGGAAACGAGGCTCAACCATGTCGTATGTTAGTTGATATAGTTTTACATGATGTTGCGATGCAAGTTACAGAACAGCAATATATTACTTTCTGTCATCTTTATGATTCGCTGGAACGTGCAATTATCAATAAGTAAGCAATCTAAACTCTACATTTCTTCGAAGAGAACGTATTTGTATTTATTTTAATAACGTTGTAGACCTTACATCAAGTATCGTCCTAATGAAACTGTGTTGATGAATTCATTGGCTTGGTGGAAGTATGCCTACAATTCGATTCTAGAGTACAATGTGAGACCCTATACTTGGCCGAGAATTGTTGAACACAGGAAAAACTACAGGAAGTATAAAGAAACCTGTCTCCAGAATTTACTTCGACCAAATGATACAGAACTAAAGTTAGATTTACAGAAGTACGAAGATTGTTTGACGATATTGAATATAGTAATCGCCAGAGAACACGCCAGACAAGAATTGCAAAATAAAACTATGGAAGAGAAGTCTCAGGATTTGAGTAACGTTCATTCGGTACAAAAGAATTCGTCTTCATCCACAGAAGAGCAAGCTCCGAATGCCGAGAACATCGAAATGCATGAAACCAAAATGTTATCTCAGAATAATGTCAATAACGGATTAGACAAAAAGTTGAAGTTAGAAAAGCCACCGCAACCTAATGGTACAATTAGGAACATTTATACAAAGTAATACAGTATATATACTACGAATAATACGTATAATTTTTTTTATTGCAGATTATAAATTTAATTTCACTTTGGCAAACGCTTGTTTGAGTTTTCTCAACAACAGCGACAGAGAAATTCTTGTTATAACTATGACGCAATTTCTGACGAGCATCGAGATACAACCGATCATGTCTGCTTTTAAGGTGTCTGCTCGGGCTGAGAGCTTTGTAGTGGAAGGTGTTTCACCAGAAGGTGACCTGGTACCTCTAATCACTGTAGACAACATTCTTACAGGTATTTTAACATATTCTTTGTACAAGTACTTGATTTGTGATCTTTATGATTTTTCTATTTAGACAACGTGTCGACCAACTTTCTGGCAATAGACTTCGAGAAGAATGGAGATAATGTGGACCCAACTTTCGAAGTTTCTTTAAAACTTGAACCCGTTGAAATTACATATTACCATGTAATTGCAATATGATTTTTACCATATGGATCATATAGGAACGTATATTTTTATTATAATTTCATTTCAGCATGCCGCGATGGAGATTATACAGTTCTTTAAACTGAACGACACAAATATTCGTACCACGATTCTGTGGATGTACAAGCTTTACGAGTACATGAAAGGGAATCTTTTGGCTTTGACGGACAATATCATTTCTCAGACCCTACGGATCAGTTTCAAAATTGACATTAAAGGGCCGTACATCGTGTTTCCTGAACACGGATCGATACAGAAGTGCGTACGATACGAAACATTTCCTAAATGTAACATAATTGTGATTGAATCTGTACGTAACACGAAGGGATTTTAGAGGCGGACACATTCTCGTTCTGGATTTCGGTAACGTGAGTGTGTCCAACGAACTTCAAGCGACCAACTTGCAGCTCGAAGATGCCACGCTCATGGAACTAGAAGAATTGCTCTACGATAGGATACACTTAGTATTCTCTGGAGCACAAATCTTGTTCTGTCATTCAGGTATGTTTCACTTTCCCTTGTGAATTTCGGTCATAGTCTTTAATATCTTTGACATACGTTGCAGGAGACGACTGGAGAACAGCCAGGAAAAGAAAAGACTCCGAGTGTCACTTTGTACAAAAGGTACAAGCGAACACAACTATCTCGTACAGTATAAAACCAGAGTACCATCAATTACCCAGGTGTGTTTTCATAGTTCACATCAAATTACAATGAAGCTTGTTGAAATTTTTAATTTTACAGGACCAAGGTGAACGTTTCGATTTCAAGCATCAAATTCAATCTGTCTGAGAACAAGATACAGATGATCGTTCACTTTTTGAATTTATTGTTGTTGACCTACCAGCAAAATTTTAAAAACTGTGACTTCAATTGGAAACAATACAGTTCAAAGAAGAGTTCCGATGATACTGTTGTAACGTTAAAAAAGTTGAAAAATGTTCAGCGCAGCGTATGCATGCTATCTATTGGAACATTACAGAACAAGTTTAATCATGTTACCAAAGAACTGTTGGCCAGTAACGTGCAGAAACAGAAACTCGATAGGTAACGAAGTAAGACTTAATACTAACTTTAAACGTGTATATATATATATATATATATAGAGAGAGATTTATTAATACTTCATTGACTTCTTCTTTCTTAAGATAATTGTAAGCAAATGGTTGATGAAAGTGTTTTATGTCGGCAGGAGTGTTGTATCTTCGGAGATTAGCGAAGAAGATTTGGAATTATTGTCTAAAACTATCAATTTATCTGGATTCGATGATAACGTGTCCCCGTGTAATCATATCAACTTGTTACTAAGATTTGCCATTGGAGAGGTATTCGCACATGAAAATTTGCTGTATTTAATTATCATGGATAGTTTTCTAATAATATTTCTAAATTCTTAGCTATCGTTTCACTTGGTAAGCCTCAATCATGGAAGAGAAGAGCCTTATTTAAATTTGAGGCTGCATGGATTGTACCTTGAGACTGCCCTTATGGTGTATGGTCCAGCAATTCAGTTCGGAGTAGGATCTATACTTTTGGTGGATAAAACTAATGCGGGTGTAACAGGATCCTACTTGGAGTTAATATCAACCGAAGAGCCCCATGAAGTTCTTGTTGTATCGTACCGTAAGGTATATCAGAGAATACTTTCAATTATAAATCGCTTATTCATCCTTCTAAGAGCTTTTAATTCTTCAGGTGAAATCGAACTGTCCCGACTTTAAGTCGCATTTCAGAAGCATCGAAAGATCGCTCATCATAAACATTCTTAGTATTCACATAAATCTTCACAGACCGGCGCTAATGAAATTGCGAGAATATTGGTTCGGTTTAATCAAGTGAGTACTTGATACGCTTGCAATTTTAAAGGAGACTACTTTCATTAACAAGTATATCAATATTTTCAGTACACTCGAGAAGAACAATCTAATCAGTTTCGCAGAGAAAGTATTCCGCACTATAGCACAGTGGAAAATAAAGGATAATGATCCACCCATTCCTCCAGGTAGGGCATAGAGAGTAATAACTAAACTGCGGACCTTTATATAAAGTTAAATTTTCATTAAAATTCCTCAGGTGCCATCAAGTTGAATTATTCTGCGAGACTCAGCGCGCTCGTTCTTCGATTTTGCGACAAAGACATGGACCTGTTAGAGATACAAGTCCTTGGATTGGAGAACGACTGCATTTATAATGCCAATGAGAGGATGGTTTTACGCGCTCATTTGAGGCACTTATTCGTCGAAGACTTACACGACGATACCCTGTATTCAAAAGTATGATTTACTATACTCTATTCTGAAAAGCTTGCTTTTATGTATTAAAGCTAATTTTTTTTAAATTTTAAGCTCTTGACCACCGATGAGGACAAAGTACTCGACTTGAAATATGTAAGACACATGCCAAGACTGTACACGTATTCCGACATCGACACCAAGAAGGATGACGTGATGTCGGATGGAACTTTCAAGCTCTCCATTGGAAGAATTAACTGTGTACTAGTTTCTAAAATATTGCACGATTTAAAGGTACAGATTCTCGTCCTGCATTCTTCTAAAAGTCCTGAAAGTGTAAAAAATTACAAATCCAATTCATTCCACAGCACTTTTTAGCGCCGTTCCTTTCAACGTACTGTATGCAATTTAAAAATTATTTGACCGATAAAATCCGTGATGGTATCAAAGATTTTAAGAAGAGCGCTACGAAATTGCACATTTTTATCGATATTCAAGGCCCTATATTTCTCCTACCGCAAAGGAAAGATGTTCCTAGTCTTTTGGTATTAAATACAGGTTGTGCTGACCAAGTAGTAGCCAAGATTATTAATTGAATGCAATTATTAAGATCTTTATTTCTTTTAGGTGTTTTATCGATGGAAAATTTTTTCAAGAAGGTCGATCAATCGACTGAGAATTCTAGAATCGATGGAAATCATTTGATAATCGATAATATCCTGGTGAAATTGAAGAATCTGACTGTATCCAGAGCGATCATGACGCTAAGTAGGGATTTGGAAATTCAGGTAAAATTTATTGTCGATTCATCTATCGCGAATGTGCTTCTTACAGAAAATTAGAGAAATTTTGATTCGCAGGAACCGATAGTAGAACCCATACACATTCATTTCGACATTAAAAGGAAAACTGAGTATCGCAGTGCGATGGAGTTCCAAACGTATGGGTTGTTTAATGTGCAAGGTACTATGGATTTCGTGCACATCAATCTGAGCCAAAGAGATTTAAAGTCTAGCATTCTGGTGTGGAAAGACAACATCTCGAAGACTATACTATTCGAGGATATGCATGAAAACGAAACACACTTGGACGTAGAAGAAGAATTGACGAAATCTAATCAGGACATGATGGTGAAGAAACTGGAAGACTTTCTCACCCACAACGAGAACACTGTGTGTGAAGTGAATGCGAAGCTAACTCTTGAAGGATTACAATTAAATTTGTTCTTGGACTCGGAAGAGGTATAACTTTTAGTTACGTTATATTCTTTACTATCAAACTAAGTTCTTAATATATTTCTAGGTATTAAGTTCACCTGTTCGTGACTTGAATCATGGTCTATGCAGACTAACTTTTGGAGAGCTAATCAACACTTATGCAGTCTACAACGACAAGAGTTTGAAGATGAAGATGTCTCTTCAAAGTTGCATTTTGCAAGACACCAGGAAGGATTCTCAAGCTATAAGAAAGTTTGTAAAAGCGTTCTACCCTCTGCCCTTGCGACGGAGAATAAATTGTATCAATGTCATCGTTCTTTTTTAACCGAAGGATAATCCAATCGCCTGCAAAATTAATCGGAGCGCATCCAGAGTCCTGTATTTCTGTGTCAATGTCACCTATCGTTGACATTGCGTACACTCGTACCCCTACCGGAGAAAGGTGTCTTGACGCGCTGATTCAGGAGGTCAGAATGAATTTGTCTGTGCCGTTTGTAATGCATTTGACACGATACATCATGGACTCGATACCGGCCGATCAGATCGAGGAAGGAATCATTAATCACGGATACGAGAGCAACAATCAGAAAACAGTAAGTAGAAGTTACATCGATTCTGTTCGATTGGATGCACAACTGTTTGGAGCTTTCAAAGTCTCCATTAAGCGACAATGAAATTATTGTTCAATGCGTGTTTCTTTTAAATCAAGAACAGGGACATTATCAGCATAGACAGAGATAAATTAAAATACGCACAATACTTTAAGGAAGAGCCAGGTACCTACGTTTGTAACGTCATGTTGCTTCGATTGTCGTTTTCTGTTTAACTATTTCTTCTCTCTTTCTCTGTATGTGTAACAACGTATTAATATGTCATACCGAATTGTAATACTGACTGCTATTTCAAATGTCTAGATGCTTCTGTATCTGTGAGAATACACAAGCCAGAGATCTTGCTTTTCGGAGACCTGAAATCTAGCAACTCGCATGTGATTCTACTGCAAGCAGAGGTGACAATCGAGAGCAGCAGGCACAGCTGTTCGTCGTCAATTGTTTGCACCTTCACCGATGTTCGGGCAAAATCTAAAAGGCAAGGAAACTATGCGAAACAGACTCCATACTGGTTACTATGCCCTTGCGACATCGAGATTTGCAGGAAGGAAGAAGCGCCAGAGTTCAATGCCGATTATACAGTCACTGTTAACGCCATCGACATCCACTTGTCTGCAGAAATCATCCACACGTTCATTGACGTGAGCAACAACAAAGTTTCCATGTTCAAGAATCAACCAATCAAAAATAATACATGTGTATATCTTTTTCAGATACTGAACGAAGCAACGAGTTTCCTGGAAAGCATGCACATAAAAGCGGAAGAGAAGTCATTCAATCCGGATTTCAATGCACACTTTAACTTGTGGACACCGAAAAAAATATCAAATGTACCTTACAAGAAAACCATCAATGGTGAGAATCAAATGTTGATTAGATTCTATTCAGGCTAAAAACGTGTTCTTTGAATTGTACATTACAGATGATTTGAATCTGCTATGCGAATGCAGCGATAAAGTAGTGACATTGCACCTCAAGCCTCTGGTCATTTCTTTGTTGCTGGAGATTGAGTACTCGACGGAGAGATTGCCGGTTATCAAGATGGAGAACATAGTAACTGCCTCCATCAACGATTGGTTTAATAATTTCTCTTTTGAGTCCAGCATGAAGTTTCACGCATTCTGTTATAACGCTGATTACAAAAGCTGGGAGCCATTGATCGATTTGTGTTCTGATGACGATATTAATTACAGACCATGGGAATTAGTAATAAAGGTATTCGTCGTTCAATTAAAAAAAATGATTGTCTTTTACCGTCAGTCTTTACATTGGATTTTATTATGTTTCTCACAGATGCGTCACGGCGAAGCTTTCATGGTAAATTCTAATTGGACCGATCCGTACCAGCAAATAAAACAAGACGCGTTGAAGACTAAAAAGAGGGGATTAAAGAGCATTGATCAAGACTTTACGGATATGGTTTTCATATCTCCGGATCACTTGGCTGTGCCGAAGCCAAATGGTGACACACTTTAAACTCGATTTTCTTTCTGTCGAAACGAAGTACAGAATTTAAATGTGACTACAAATATTTCAGAGACTGAATTGTATGCACCGTATGAAGAAGATTCTGATACAGATGATGACGAGAGTCAGAAGAAGTTGACGAGGACGTCCAATTATTTATTTAATAGTAATAGCAGCGGCGACGAGGATAGTGATAGCGATAACTCCAGCACAAACGAGGATGAAGGACTGGAATTGACACCGGAATGCAACGTGGATTCCTGTGAGGAAATAGCATTCGATAGAATTAATACAATTATTTATATAATTATGTTCAATTACAGTTGGTCCGATCGGTCGCGAATCGATAAAGTCCAACGACATGGCTGTCTACATCACCATCTCCGCGGAAGAGAAATTGAATTTCATAGTCACCCCGAACTTGATTGCTGTCATCGACGTTATCATGAATGCGTTCCACCAAGCCAATAGTGGAATACCAATAGTACCTACCAGCATCAAAAAACTCAATCTGCAGAACGCCATCGGTTACGAAAGTCGAATAGAATTGCTTGCTTCGGAAAATGTCAGGGTACACACTAGAGATACATTGAACATCTTTTTGAATTTAATTCGAACTCTGTTTCCTCTTGTTGCAGGAAGATAACAAAACCGTTACGCGCGTTCTAGCGAGCCAAGGCTACCATAATGTAGATTCACCAGTGAGTATTCCAAGTAGCCCGGAACCAGAGATTCAGTCTACCCATGGCAGTCCGCAATGGGCAGAGAATGACATGGAGTTCGCAGATCCTAATCCGAATCTGCAAAATCACACGATGCCGATTAAGGAAATATTTCAAGACGATTCTTCCATTAGAATATACAAGACAATCACAGGAGAAGTATTGCGTGTTATTGTTCAAGGTATCAATTGTTCTTCATAGGACCGCACCTGCAGGAAAGCGCCGTGACTTTCACAGATTCTTTGTTGCATTCAGGATTCGAAAACGTACTTGTCTACTGTCCTATGCGACAAGGTTGCAATTTGGTTCCATTGCGACCGATCAGGCACGAAGTCCGTTATCATTTGGTCATTGACGCTACCATAGATAATTATTTGCATCGTACAATTACCGTACGATCACCGTTACAGGTAAATGATCAAACTACTGTTATCCATAGTGGTAGTGTCTCACGCACGTTTCATATTCTAATTGCAGATCAGAAATGAAACTTCTTATGCATTGGGTCTTTATTATAAAAAATCATTGTTGGACAAACTGGGACTGACTTCTATAGGCGTGCCAACAAACCCATTCGACGACAATATTAGAATGACAATCATTGAGCCAGATTCTACTTACAATATTCCTTTATATATAGCTTATCATTTTCCTATATATATACTACCCGCTTATTTAGAGTAAGTGGAAGTCCAAATGCATATAATAAATAACAAATGCCAAGGGTGTGTGGAATAATAGATATCTGTCGCAGGAAATACCATGTCAGCGAGGAAGGAATCTATTGGAAAGAACTGAGCGCGTCGATGAACATAGCCAGAGACATTTATTGCAACATGAAGGAGGATGAGAATCATTCTGTGTTTTGTGTCAAGGTCTCTTGTAACGAAGTTCCATTAACCACAAGACCAAGCTGCCAAGTACCGAGTTACTTGATAAGCATCCACTCTCCACTTATTTTCAACAATCAGTTACCATTCGTTGTAGACGTGAATATACCCTCTATCAACTATGAAGTGAAAATTGAACCCGGGGAGAAAATCAATATGCACTCCTTAAACTGCAACAATGACATACAATTTATATTCAAGGTGCGTGGCATTAATGCATCAAGCTGGCATCGTTGTTTTACCTATTGGCAATGACTTTTTGAAAAATTGGAGACAAATATAGTGCACGGTTTTACAATAGATTATTAGATAACGTCGATTTGCAGATTCAGAATTATTTGGGCGGATATTGGACCGGCTCAGCAAAATTGAATACTAACTTGGAAAGAAAATTCATTCTGATGACAGCGGACAGTGAATCAGACTTGACCAAACCTTTCCTGTTGAATATAGAATTGTGTAAGATCACAAGTTGGCACATTGTTATTCAATCTCAATATTGGATAATAAATAAATCTGGATTGCCTCTGTATATTCAGGTAAACACTCTTTTTTTCTTTTTTTTAAGTAAAATTACAATGCATCAACTTGACGGCTTAACGAAACGGTTTCAGGAGTGTCATTCCCACATAATCAACGAAGTTCCTGAAGAAGAGTTGATTATATTCTCCCAGAAGAATAACAAGAAGGGTACGGTCAGGCTGAAAGCTCATCAGTCCGAGTGGTCCCTACCATTTGGTCTTGAAGGAATTACTTCGATGTCCTTGATCGTGTGCAAGGATACAGAACGCGGAAGGAAGTATAGAATCCTGACGGAAATCGAGAGCTCACGTTTGTCGAACTTCACGAAAATCATAACGTTCTTACCCTATTTCTACATCAGTAACAAAACGAAAAGAACTCTGAGATTTATGGAGGAGAATGATCAAGCAGACTTATGGAACGACCTCCTGCCTGGACAGAGTATGCCATTTTGGCCAATGACTGATTCGATGAGGATGAGGATAAAGTGGAGAAACAGTCAATTAGTGTCTCAACACTTCGGTATTACTCATATAGGGAAGACTGTTTTGAGAATGGACAACGGAGTAAGTACTGAAAATACTTGTAATGATTGTGAGACTGTATAATGAGAAAATATCGCGTGGATTTATAGTCAGCTATCACCGTGGAGATCAATGGCGGAGTGAATTCTCCTTACAACATCACATTCCAAAAGTGCGTGTCTGGTGATATACCAGTGAGGATAGATAATTTCTGCGACGATCTGTTTCTGAAGATCAGCCAGCACAACTTGGGGCAAGTGGCATTGGTGAATCCGTTCCAAAGCCTTTTGTACACATGGGATGATCCTACGAAGCCCAGAGAACTCATATGGAATGTCTACAACAATAAGAAGACTGGATACGACGCCAAGTTCGAAAAAGCAAGTATACGCGTACCCTTGTGCAAGTGTTATTTTTCAAATAAATATGGATTGTATTACCTTTAGGACGGATGTGGCCAAGAGATTGTTCCTCTTGTGATCGTTGACACATGCAACAGTGTGTCCTCCTCTACTTATTCATACAAACAGGGCAACAATAAGTCAACGTGGTTGGAAACCAAATCTGCAAGTTTCAGCGGCAGTGAGAAGAGCAACGTCTGCGACGAGGATCTAAAGTCACCGACACTGAAACGCTCCCAGACAGAACAAACCACTGTTGTTTATTGGGTGAGCTATATGCAGAGCAATCAAAGGGTCTTGTTGTTCACTCAACAGGAGGCAGTGTTTTTAAAAGCGAAGAACATCATCGATCCTGAACCAAGCAAAAAAGAGATATTCGTTTCCTTTGCTGGCATTGGCGTTAGCATTGTAAGTTGACGATAGTCACTCGGCCTGCTAATTAATTGCTGATTGAATGCAAATACATTTTAGGTAACAAAATCAAACGAAATACTGAGGGAGTTGGTGTACGCCAACGTGACAGACTCTGCGGCTCACTGGGAGCTTTACTTTGGCAGAAAATGGAAAAGTTTATCGCTGGAGTTGAGCGCATGGATAGAGAGCAAATATGTAAATTCTTGTAAAAAGGCTCAGTTAGACAATTTAATTGACGTAAGTACGCCTGGTCTTCTAACATTTGACAAAGAACGAATATATGAATGAATTTTCAGGTTGATCTTGTAAAAATGCACATAACTAAGCCGTTCTTTGGAAAACTGAGAAGAACCTACTCTCCAGCCATTTGGTTGCACATTAGGAAATCTATGACGTTGACTTACTTGCAAGGACATGTGCATAGAATACAGGTACAACTATACTTTCATTTAGCATTGCTCGAATGTAAAATGATACTGAGGTTTGTGTGTGTGTTGCTTCACAGATTGATAATCAAATCCGTAATACAACCTTCCCAGTAGTTTTATACTCGAACTTGCAAAAGAGTGTTTTCAATCACGTTGGAAACCCTAAATTGAAGCACTGTATTGAATTTACTGGTTTGAAGCAAAAGAAGCTAAATTATAACGTTTACAAGTAAGCGTGCAACTTTAGATTTATATTTGTATGTTATTGTTTACTAGAACCTTCGAATTTGTTTCACAGAGGTATTTGCATCATAATTCGGGAATTTGATTTGAATCTACAAGAAGGTTTCCTTCTCTCTTTAATCGACTTAATCCCAAAGAAACCGGTGACTAAATATTCTATTGCTGCAAAACTGAGGAAAGACGTTTCGAGCGTGCACATTTTGCCTTCTAACAGGAATAACGAGGTATCTCCGAAGTAATTTTCATATAATATTAGTTCTAAGCAACTGGTGTGTTAACAAAGAACCTGACAGTTGCAGAGTTCGTCTGTTAAAAAGAGGAATATAATAGAACAGTTGTATATTTCTCCGATCTTAGTACGTTTAATATTGCTGGCTGACACAGAGAGACCTAATATTTATAATATCAGTGATATTGCAGATTATAAAAATATTGTCAGATTTATTTTTGAATACTCTGAGAATGGGAGCTCCGAAAAACATGCTGAATTCAGGTGTGTTGAAGTGTTCACATTCTATATGCTTTTGGTGTACTAATACTAATATTAATCTTGAAATTTCAGACTCCCTTGTTACCAAAAGAACTTTATTACCGTTAATAATGCGGAACTTTTGTTTGATTTATCACGGTCATATGCGGCTCAAGCTATGCAACAGTTTCAGGTGTTGATTCGCTCAACTACCGTTCTAGGAAATCAGTATGGCTACAACTTTAAATCACCAGGAGATAACTTTTACGAGGCTAATACCGTAAGCAAATGGAACAGAATATTAATGGGGATATTTTATTATAATCTGAACTATTTTTTGAATTCTGTGTTGCAGTTGATTCTGTGCGGTGACGAAATAGCAGAGAAACTGAGCCACGAGATAGCATGTCAATTGGGCTATGCCACGGTAGACTCTATACAGACGACAGCCTTTAATTTTGACTTTGAACTTCACGTAACACCAGTTAAGGTAATAGACCAATAATAATAATACTAATGTTTCTGCGATTATTATCGGGTCGATTAATGAGAGCATTTGATTATAGACAAAAGAGCCATGCTTTCAAAACCAGGATGTACCTCCTTTGAATCCTTTGATTCGTACCTCATTTTCTACAGAGATTGAATTAGAAACTTCCAACTTAGTGACTGCGTTTATAAATAGTAAGCATAAATCATTTATTTTTTTCAAATAAACAAGTACGTAACCATTTTTGTGTCAACTTGTTTAGGTGTTCACCAGGAAGAGTTGAAGTATTTCTTCAGAACCTTAGGAAAGAAAACATCAATATTTTTTCATACTGAAAGTTCCTCCCTGAAAGCTTACTCGAAAGTGATAGCGGACATAATTAAAAGGTATAGAATAAATAGTAATACATTCAATCGAGCAGATTTATAGTCTGCCATATTTTTCAGGGCACAAGAAATAGGTCATAAGTTTATATCTCGCATACGCTTACCACGTTACGTCAATCCATATAAGGTAAATCATAGTTATTTGAATTAATCAAATTAATTTACAAATGTGAAAATCATTATACTTTCGTTCCAGGGAATCGAGATATTCTCAGTTCACAAAGCGAAAGGAATGCACATTTTGACTTTAATAAATAAAAATCCTTGTATGGAAGCAGACACGTATTGGGCGCATGCTGCTTTGTCTAACGATGGGAAACATATAGCACTGGTTTCTTTGCAGTGAGTAGATTAAAATCATATTTGTTTATCCAATCGAAAGTGTTTCTTGCAACTTATTTTTGATGTTGACTAGGCGTCTATACTTTATCGAGAAAGGATGCGTATGGGGATCTTTGAATGTAAAATGGACATTGGAAACACATCAGCTGCTATCACCTACAACTGTAGTCAATAATAAACTAATCCTACATGTGAACAAGGTATTTATAATGTATCAAAGTAGTATGTTAACTGCTTATATACTTGTAACTGATGAGTTGGTCTTACCTTTAGAACGAAGACAGCTTATCGCCCATGGGAGATTGGTATTTGGAAAGCGAAGCGACAGATATTCTGGAGTGGCTGTGCCAGAAAATAAATATAGCCATGATCTTGAACATGGAGAACGGTATATGTTCAAACCAAGTTGTGTAACTGGAACCCAAACTATAAAAGAAAGATCATTGTATATTTAAATTAATCAGGCACAATAAATTCTCCAATGAACGCAACACTTCCTTCTATATTGAAAACCTATGACTAAGAAGCAACATTGTTTTGTTTCCTACAAGTACAATTTAATTCATTCTCAACTTTCGTATAGTTTAAATATCCTCTACGCATCATTATCGCCGCCATCGCCATCATTATCATCATCATCATCATCATCATCATCATAATCATAATCATCATCATCACCATCATCACAATTATGTAAAGAGTACATCATATACTCTTGTAAATAGTTCTTTTTCCCCCTTGTTTAAATCGCTATTAAGTTCTATTTCAATGCGTCAGACGTGTCCGCATATCATATATATATATATATCTATTATATATATATATGTATATAGTCATTTGGATAAAGTACGTCTAGTTTATTTCATAATTTATTTACAAAAAGTCTTAGTAAATTACACTTACAGGCATCTCCACTCGAACTAAAGTAAATAATTTAAGAACTACACGTATTTAGATATCTATAGAGTAGGATACTTTGGGGTCAGGGAGAAGCTGGGATTAGGGAAAGTGTTCTGTTTAACTTATTTACCTCGTTCACCTTTTTTTCCATTTTCCTTCGTCCTTTTCACCTAGTTATCCTCGAACATAGTCGAATCAAATAGATCCTTTCGTTTCTTTTTTTACATGCGCTACCCTTGTGAAAACTTAAACACCACTCGTTCGTGACATTTCTCTCTACCGAAACGAAAAAGGAAGTACCGGCGTGGAAAGTGTGTGTATGTGTATGTTTTTTTCCCGTGATCGTGTTCCGCGTGTATGTACGTATGTATGTATGTGTGCGAGCGAATACAAACTTCCTTCCAACAAACTATTAAAAATATGGGTGGTTTCATCTTCTTTCCTCTCGTTCCTTTCAATTACATTAGATAAATGTATACGTAAGAATCGTCGAAATATGTGCAAAAGCTGACAATGGGGGGGGAGGGGAGATAGTAATTACTAGTTTCTTTTTTTTGCTTTACGATAACATATGCGCTTCGAAAAAGCATAAAAGTCTTGAGATTACAATTATATCCCATTAGAGTTGCTTAATGGCACGATCGAGAGCTTAAGATTTAAAAATTCCATGGTTTATCCAACTCTGTATGTTGCGTTTGCTTACATTACAGAAAACTCACTTTCAAAAATTCTCTCTCTCGCTCGCTCGTTCTCTCCTCTCCGAGTTTCTCTACTACTTTTTTATCCACAGTTTATGAACGATTACATTTTTCTGGTCGATCCCCACAATTCATGTTTACAAACGCTTTCATTAAAAAAAAAAAAAAAAATAATAACAAATCATCGCAGAGAAGAATGTATCGCCTACGAAAACAGAAGAAAACTCTCTTTCGCAAAGTCACAAAAAAAAGAAGTTAGAAATGAAAATGAAAAAAAAACGGGAATCCACCAAGAAATAATTACATGAACAGATTTTTTTTTCTCCGTGAATTTGAAATTAACTTTACCTAGCGCGCTTGTTATTTCCGGGACTATCCTTTTTGTTAATCCGTTGTTTACACTTTTCCTGTGCTTTTCTCTCGATTACCCTCTCTTTTCTCTATGTATCTCTTTTCCCACCCTCTCCTTCTTCAGTTCTTGTAAGCTCGTGTATACGTAGTATATTAGCAGTTAATTTCACAGACACTATTCCCCACCCCTTTTTCTACCAGCAACCCCATCCCTGGTGCACATACAGCCGAAGCATTCGTTCGTCACTACCTTTGTCAATTCACATGCGCACATAACATACACTCGCACGGGCAAAATAGCGACACACGAATACAATGAGTCACGTGTCCCTTTCTGGTCCGACGTCATTCATTCCGTTTCATTCTTTCCTCACACTCGCCAACTTCCATTCATTCAACGTGTATACTTTTGTTACAATTCCGCAAGTTTATCCTCCACCTGAATTGTTTTTTCTTTTGTTTCGTTAATTTTCTTGTTTATCCGTTGCGCGCTCACACGTTCAGCAACACAGATTCCTTTTATTTACGCTCTCTCTCTCTCTCTCTCTCTCTCTCTCTCTCTCTCTCTCTTCGCACAAGAATGATCTCTTGGCAGAAATCGGACAATCTTTCAACATTATTCTTATTTTTCGCACGTTTATTTTCTTTCTCCCCTCACGTTACAATTTTTCCATTTCTCGTTCTCATGATCGCAATTTCCTTTTTTCTTTCTCTCTACGGACACATACGCACACACATGTATTCGCATGCACGCACACACACTCACTCGGCCTCATTCTCGCTCATTTTTCCAACAATGTCTTTCTTCAGTTCTAGTTCTGCCTGTGCATCTAAAGTCGAGACTCTGGGTGGTCTGCCGTTTTTCTCGTACAGTTTTCGAATTTCTTTCGCAACGGAGACCACCGTGGCGCGATCACACCGCATTGTGTACTTTTATTCCTCTCATATTTCTGTCCACCATCTTTCTTTTGTTGTTGTTGAAATTACTTCGTTATTTGACACGCGCGGCACGGCACGCGGTCAAATACGATTCAATGGAAGTGTAGATGTATGTTCTTCTCCGTGTCTCTGTGTGTATATGTGTTCACGTGTACGTATGTGTCGCGTGTATATGTGTTATCTACAAAATATCTTAATTACTCGCTAATTACAGCACAAAACATGCAAATATAAAAATTTGCATTATATTATCGTTAATATTTATATATATAATCGTCACCCCAATATTATCGTTCCGCATCGCACCATTTTAAGGTTCGTCAAACAGATTTGTTATTTTTTTTTCTTCAATAGTTTTGTCTCAATCGTCAGCTCTCAGTTATTCTTTTATATATTATTATGCTGCTAATAATCGTTTGTCTCATTTCTTCTTTCTCTCTCCCGCTCGCTCTCTCTCTCTCTCTCTCTCTCTCTCTCACGTTCAATCTGTCCGTATCCGTCTCATTCTATCTCGCATTCTCGACATCTCGGTGTCTTTAGTTTCCTCTCCCTATCCCTCTACTTGTAATCCATTGTTTTGAATCGGCCCGATTTCACTCGTGGCCTCGGGAACCCGGTCTTTCGCTCTGTTCATCGATCTTTTCTCCCTTTATCTTTCTTTTCATTAACTATGTAAATATCTTACACTATGTCGATATTATTCCAATTCACGNCACAAGAATGATCTCTTGGCAGAAATCGGACAATCTTTCAACATTATTCTTATTTTTCGCACGTTTATTTTCTTTCTCCCCTCACGTTACAATTTTTCCATTTCTCGTTCTCATGATCGCAATTTCCTTTTTTCTTTCTCTCTACGGACACATACGCACACACATGTATTCGCATGCACGCACACACACTCACTCGGCCTCATTCTCGCTCATTTTTCCAACAATGTCTTTCTTCAGTTCTAGTTCTGCCTGTGCATCTAAAGTCGAGACTCTGGGTGGTCTGCCGTTTTTCTCGTACAGTTTTCGAATTTCTTTCGCAACGGAGACCACCGTGGCGCGATCACACCGCATTGTGTACTTTTATTCCTCTCATATTTCTGTCCACCATCTTTCTTTTGTTGTTGTTGAAATTACTTCGTTATTTGACACGCGCGGCACGGCACGCGGTCAAATACGATTCAATGGAAGTGTAGATGTATGTTCTTCTCCGTGTCTCTGTGTGTATATGTGTTCACGTGTACGTATGTGTCGCGTGTATATGTGTTATCTACAAAATATCTTAATTACTCGCTAATTACAGCACAAAACATGCAAATATAAAAATTTGCATTATATTATCGTTAATATTTATATATATAATCGTCACCCCAATATTATCGTTCCGCATCGCACCATTTTAAGGTTCGTCAAACAGATTTGTTATTTTTTTTTCTTCAATAGTTTTGTCTCAATCGTCAGCTCTCAGTTATTCTTTTATATATTATTATGCTGCTAATAATCGTTTGTCTCATTTCTTCTTTCTCTCTCCCGCTCGCTCTCTCTCTCTCTCTCTCTCTCTCTCTCACGTTCAATCTGTCCGTATCCGTCTCATTCTATCTCGCATTCTCGACATCTCGGTGTCTTTAGTTTCCTCTCCCTATCCCTCTACTTGTAATCCATTGTTTTGAATCGGCCCGATTTCACTCGTGGCCTCGGGAACCCGGTCTTTCGCTCTGTTCATCGATCTTTTCTCCCTTTATCTTTCTTTTCATTAACTATGTAAATATCTTACACTATGTCGATATTATTCCAATTCACGAAGGGGGCGGGGGAAAAAGGTATAGCTGACAGGTATCGCGTGTCGTGTCATGGCGCGGGCGCGGCACTCGCGTATTCTCGCAGTGTATCTGTTAACGCGCACGCGGCTAACACCGTTCAATCAACTCGTTTGTTACTTCTCTTCCCCGTATTTACTCGATATAAAACTACAACCACGCAAATCTAGTGGCGTGTGTATATCGACACTTTGTTCCGTCTACATATTCTCTATAACCGACCCCGCGTTCTTTCCATTATTCCTTCATGGCTACACCATGTTAACGTGTTCCTTTCTTTTCTCTCCGTTATACTGAACACTATCACCTTCCTGCTCGCACTCTTTCTACACCTTTCTACGTATTTTTTTTATCTTGCTCGCTCGTTCTCGCACTCTCTTTCTCCCTTATTTTGCTCTCACACTTTTTTCTAACATGCTCACACTCTCTCTCTCTCTCTCTCTCTCTCTCTCTCCCTCTCTCTCTCTCACGTTCGCTCACGCTTTCTCTCTCTCTCTTTCTTTCTGTATTATCTATATAGAATAGCAGCCACTATGTATATATATAGCTGTCTTTCTGTCACCTTGGAAAAACATTATCATCATCGTCATCGTATCATTTTACACAAGGAAGGAGGCTAAACAAACACGGATCAACACACCCGCGTGTATCCCAAAAAGAAGTAGGAGAATACCGTCTGTCTCTCTTTTTGTCAACAAAGTTACGCGCCCCTGGAACACTGGAACAATACACGAGCAACAATTGCGGCCACTTGCTGATCCAATATCTGACTCATCACCAGAGCAAGTAGCCGTGACTCGTGCTGTAGCAGCAGAGTCCTGTTGTCCGGATGCCTGGCAAGGTTGAGCAGAGTGCCGGCCGCGCGTCTCAGCATGTCCAGGCTGGTACCCATCGACTCGGGATTGTCCCGCAACGCGGCCAATCCATGTTGGTTCGCGANATTATTCCTTCATGGCTACACCATGTTAACGTGTTCCTTTCTTTTCTCTCCGTTATACTGAACACTATCACCTTCCTGCTCGCACTCTTTCTACACCTTTCTACGTATTTTTTTTATCTTGCTCGCTCGTTCTCGCACTCTCTTTCTCCCTTATTTTGCTCTCACACTTTTTTCTAACATGCTCACACTCTCTCTCTCTCTCTCTCTCTCTCTCTCTCCCTCTCTCTCTCTCACGTTCGCTCACGCTTTCTCTCTCTCTCTTTCTTTCTGTATTATCTATATAGAATAGCAGCCACTATGTATATATATAGCTGTCTTTCTGTCACCTTGGAAAAACATTATCATCATCGTCATCGTATCATTTTACACAAGGAAGGAGGCTAAACAAACACGGATCAACACACCCGCGTGTATCCCAAAAAGAAGTAGGAGAATACCGTCTGTCTCTCTTTTTGTCAACAAAGTTACGCGCCCCTGGAACACTGGAACAATACACGAGCAACAATTGCGGCCACTTGCTGATCCAATATCTGACTCATCACCAGAGCAAGTAGCCGTGACTCGTGCTGTAGCAGCAGAGTCCTGTTGTCCGGATGCCTGGCAAGGTTGAGCAGAGTGCCGGCCGCGCGTCTCAGCATGTCCAGGCTGGTACCCATCGACTCGGGATTGTCCCGCAACGCGGCCAATCCATGTTGGTTCGCGACCCCTAACGCAGTCGACTCCGCTTGTTCAATGAACGCCACCAACAACGCAACGCATGGCGTTTGCAGGGCTATAGTGCGCGCCACTCCGCTGTCGGCCGCGGACAAGAAATGAAGCAGGTTCACGCCGAACTCGCGCAGTACTTGCTCCTCGCTCCGACACAGTAGCCTGGTTAATACGGAGCATAGTCTCTGAAGCCTGGAGTATGGGGGTGTCGCAACGACTAGGTCCACGTTGCACTCGGTAACACAAAGCTTACAGAGAGCCTCCAGCGCTAATCTCTGCGGCGACAAAGACGAGTTCGGGCCTACCGTGGGGAACGGGTCCTGACCGTGAGCGGCGGGACACACCGCCCAATGCAGAAGCCCATCCAACACTGGCCGGGATATTTCCTCCGGGTGCTGACTCAGATCCAAGTGACCGGCTATGTTCGCCGCCATCACCAGCACGTTTTCTCTTATGTGATGCAGGAAGTCCCACCACCATTCGCTCTCGCCTTGCAGGCTGCTGCAGGAGTCCGCGAAATCCGCGTCCTCCTCTCGGTCGTAGTTGCGAGTTTTCTGTGTCCTGGCCGGGTGCTCGTGATGCAATAGCAACAGCTTACCGAGCAAGCTCAAGAAGGTGACATTCTTCGCGAATTCCGCCTCGTTGCCCGGTATGAACGTGAGATTCCTTAGTATTGTGGATAAGCAGACACAACGCCGAGCCAGGTGATCCTGTGTCTCGGTGACGAGGTATAGGCTCGCCTCGTCCCTCGAATAGCTCTCGTCCTCGTAGTCGCTTATTCGTCTCCTCTTTAATGTACCCGCTGGATCTCTTATTTTTAATCTTGGTCCCTCCTTATTATCGTCATCCTTCGATATCGATTCCTGCTGCTCCTCGTTCTCCACTTTGATCTCGGGTTTTTCCAACTCGGTGTTGGTCGTCGTGTCATTCAACCCGTTCTGCGTGGGAATCATTTCCTCATCGGACTTTTGTAGGTCCGAGAAGTGTTCGCCCATGTTGTTGTTCACCTTGGCCTCGGTCTCACATTCCTTCTTGAACCCGTCGTTCTTTTTCTCGAATAGCTCTCTCGTGAGATCGTTCATCTCCACCGGTTCCTTCTTGATCCTGGACAAAACGTCGCTCAAGGTTTTCGTCTTTTTCTTCTTGTCCAATTGTTTCTTCTCGCTGGCCTCTTTCGGTTTCTCGCCGAGCTCGGCAACCTTCTGCGAGAACTCCGACGCCTCGAGCGTGTTCGGATCTACTTTGGTTTCGTCCTTCGAATCCGTACATTCGACTTCCTTCTGCAACAACGGCGGTTTTTCGTCTCTGAGAAGACGCGCGAACGGTACCGATCCAATCTCGGACTGAAAGCAGGTCACTATGTATTTTGTGGTGCTAGTGTCGACTTGCCAAGGCTCGGTTTCAGATTCACACTCCTGATGATCCCAAGTCCTTCGGGTGTCAAGAACAAACAGGTCTTCATCCCTCGGAACGATTTTCACTGGACGACCCCTTCTCGACAAGAACGTGTAATTCGAGGACGACAATAGTTTAGTTCGATCCTCAGGATCGATGGGTCGTGTCACGGCACCTAGATCCACTTCCGGCCCTTCTGCTGATTGGGTCCAATTGCGATCGTCCTCGTTCACGGCCGACTCGAACATGTCCGACAGGGAACGCGAGAAATGTTCCAGCAGAACGTCCAACAGCCCGGGCAAGTGTGTCAAGCCAAAATAACTTACCTGTAAATGTTGCGTTTCAACAACATCCTTTAATATATTTAATTCGCTTGCGAAACTGCGACGATCAAAGAGATAAAAGACTTACAGAGGAGTCGTCAAACAATAATATGTTTAGTACGTCAAGGGCCCAACAACTTTCAGCTAATAGGCCAGATCGCAATGCCATCATTATGCGCCAAGCTTCGACAGGCGCTACATCAGCTCGTGTGAGTTTCCGCCGCTTATACATAAGCGGGGTCATCGCTTCCATGCTGTCAGGAGGGAATGTCATTTCTCTTTTTGATGTAGGTTGCTGGCTTATCATGGGATTGATTCCAAGCTGAGTCTACGAACGTGCAAGTAACGTTAAATACACGTTGGTCCTGTGTCTGAAATTGAAAATACACGAAATTGTTACAAGAAGTCCAGCATACCTGGTGATTTCCAGGTGCAGGATAAAGAGGGGACGGTTGATTTGAGTATCGATGATCCCACGGAGGAGGAGCGTGCGCTATAGCATTCAGAGTTGGCTGAGGAGTGGTTCTATTTGGTTGTTGATTACCCCATTGCTGACTACTAGCAATTGCTCCTGTTGGAGGCGTAGAGGGCACAGGACCGACCGGTGGCGTCGGCTGCTGCGACTGTGGCTGTTGTGGCTGTGATTGCGATTGTGGTTGCTGCGGCGTGTATTGTACTCTACTGCTCCCACTACTGCTGTTGTACTGACTGGTAGTATTTGGCCATCCTGCGGTCCCAGTATCGGCAGTTACATAATGTTCAACGACTCGAACTATCGTTATTCGTATATTGAACACGCTAGTTTACCTGGATACGTTGGTCTTGGTTGATTATATTGAGGATACTGTTGGTCTTTGGCAAAATCAGGATGTCGCCTGGGTGGATTTGGACCTGGTGGTGGCGGAGGCATGTTCTTGTTTGCACTCGTGCCTCCTGAATATATCTGTGTCCCTGCTGGAGCTCCATACCCTCCCTGTAATCGGAAAGAAATCATTCGGTGAGATACCGCGAAACTAATTAATTACGCATATTACGAATTAAGGAATTGTTACCTGTTCCTGTCGGTAATAATCTTGTGGGCACGAATAAGACGAAGTAGCAGAAGGCTGGGAAGGTGAAGAAGGTTGACTGGTAGCCGTTTGTTGTGGTACAGTAGCCGGATGTGTCTGCGGTGCAGACGGGTAGCTGTTACTTCTGGCATTGGGCGGAGTTCCAGCCTGATAACTTGCAGCTTGTTGACTACTACTATATCTATTGTATATGTCCTGCCCACTAGCGTTGTTCGGTGGCATGTTCCCTCCAGGATAGCCCCTACGAAATTTATAAACGTGATCAACGCTTTCTCTTGCACACTTTCCTTCGTGTAATTATGCTTCGTTTATCTCACCTGTCGACGTCCGGTACATAAGGTGAATAATGTGACCTTGGTGAATAAGGTTGATTGAACTCTCCTTGTTGAGACAGCGTGTTTCCTTGGGGGCGAATATACTGATCCTGAGGATAGTTTTGGTAAGAACCTGTATTCTGGTAACTGCTTTGTTGTATACCTTAAACACAAACAAATATTTTCCACTCGTTCAATGATCTTTAGTTGTAACATGCTTCCAGATAACAATGAAAAATATGAAGAAGTCATTACAGCCAATAAACAACGGATAAAGGCGTGCTCAAGGGACACATACGCATCGTTCTAAGTCGTGAAAGGACACAAGGAAGAGAGAAGTACCTGGGGTTCGTAGTGGACCAGGGTAGGGCGCCGCGTTCGACTTGCGAGCAGAGCGTCCCACACTGTTGTCGAACGATTTTGCGCTATTCTGCCCGCCCTGGTTCGAACCACCTGTCGGAATATCATTCTCTCAACCGCTATTCCTTTCACACGATTCCACAACTATCAGGTTGATGTTACTGTCGTCGTATATACACCAACTTAACACGTTCAACCCGAATCGAAATCACTATATTCGCTTGCCAGTAATAAAGGAGCTCTATGAAAGATTAGATTATTGGCTTGCAGTTGCTTCTGTAACTGCTGAACGGGCTGAACGTGTTAACGTGTTGTTGTATGTAACATGAATAATAAAATAGAGGATGAAGCATTTACCTTGATGAGGGGAGGGAGCACTACTCTGGCTAGGTGGTCTGGGAGGAGGTGGTGTGTACTCCGCAGACGGTCCTCCAGGTGTGCCGCCAGCGTAACCACTCTGGTAACTTCCATAACCGTCCATGGAAGCATTACTCGATCCAGCAGCAGGGAAGGAATCTTGTGAATTGGAAGACCCTGAAGAATATTTAAAGTTTGTTTATCGAAAACCCTTCTTTATCGGTTACGCTAATCTCAATAGTAAATACCTACCCGGTGAGGGTACAGAAGCGGTTCCCTTTGATCCTTTCTTCTTCGAGCCAGCTTCAACTTGATTGATGATGGGCTGTGGATCCACACCGCCGCGATCGAAGTGACATTCGTATGCCAATAAGTGTTTCGTGTAGTGTTTCCGCAGCGTGTAGGCTGCGCTACTACTCGCACCAATGCCTAGCAACCCGGCTATGTCTTTCCACGTTTTGTTCTTTGTCACCTATGGAGAATTAACGTGATTTTTCCCCTGTTAGACGTGCCACGCCATGTTTACCAATGTCAAAATCCAAACAGCAAAAATCTGCATCTCGAAAACGCAAAATAAAAATAAAAAGTACACGTGGAATAAAAAAAAAAGAATCGTTACAGGTACTAGTCTAAAACAAAAACAAAACATTGAATTGGCAAAAATAACTAACTCTGCCTTATTTGCATTCGAACGACTTAAAAATTTTCTGACCATGCAGAAAAGTATGGAAAAAGTGAAACAGACAAAAGTACAGTCGAGACGAATTACCGTTATCATATTGATATTAAAAGTTTATCTTCACTGAATATTAGAATAATTCCATATAGCACCAAGGTTTGTAGGTCAGGGCGTATTCCATACGCGTCGAACGACTACCTCAAGAAAAGACGTGTTAAGCATCTTTGTTCTCTCTCTCTCTCTCCCTCTCTCTCTCTTTGTTTTTTTTCATATAGTATACAAGAAAAAAAAGAGAATAAAATGGTACACTAATAGCAAAAAAGTACAATGTGATCATGCACAATTCAGCGTAAACAGAAGGAAGCGTGTTCACAGTGGTATTCAACAACTGACGATACTTTTAAAATGCATAATATAGAAAAGGAAAAATAAAACAGGAAACGACCAACTCGTGTGTGACTTCATCAAAGTTGTCAGTGCATGACATCTCGATGAGTGTACATAATTATTTAAACAAAAGACGAAAACGTGAACACATATAGAGACAATAAAAAAACTACGTAAAGACACCGAGGGCTAGATGGAACTACACTGCACCTTGCATACCTCCATGAAGCCCCCCCTCTCTTTGACGTGGAGGTATAGCCGAAATAGGTCGAGGGGGTTCTTGGAGATGGTAGGACAGCTTGTAATTGGTGTTCTTCGTTCTTCCATGAAGTTAACTAATTTATCCAGCCATGTTCTTCGTTCCATTGAGTCATCCATTTCATACAATTTCGCCAAGCTATCTGGTTTCTGTAATAGTCATTGTTGCAACTTTAGCCACATCTATACTATTCGACAGTATTTAGTCTGAAATGTTTAGAGCACTAATTCTAACAATGAATGTTATATATACATTTTTTTTCAAATATCGTATGTTACAAACGTGACACTATATTAATATTTTTGTTCGACTTGGTTGAGTGCTGCTACAACCCAAATCTTTCATGCAATGAGTGCTGTTTTCCCTGAAAGGTTCTATGTTCAAAAATGAAACGAATCGGATGTATCATGCAGCTATGCAAAGCAAAATAACATTAAAAAAAAAGTTCTTTTGATGATAAAACGTGTCGGTAACGAGTTATGATATCGTGTGTTGCCAAGGTTAATAAATGATTGTGTTATGTATATATACAGACGGGTGTGAAGAAATATAACCACTATGCAACAACTTCTCGATCACTATATTACGAAGAATATACAAACGATATGGGAAACATATTGTTATTTAATAAATGAACGAGTTCTATACGAATATACACAAGGTTCGACCTAATATGCAAAAGCAGGCGGCACGTAATTTTTTATAAAAAGTGAAGAAAAAAACAGTATAAAATTGATTCATTATCGGTTTAGTTTTCGAGAAAATCGAAATTAACAATCCCTATATTGTTACGGTAAAGTCAACAAATGTCTACACGGCATTTAAAATCTTTTAGGTTGAAAGAAAAAAACACGAAGATTATTTTTAACGAAAAAAAAATTTTATTTTATCAATTACAAAATTGCTAAAATTGTTATCAAAGCATATCTTTACTATACGCTGTACACTATATACAGTTTTTTCGTATTTTCATTTCAACCAAATAACTTTTAAATACCGTGTAGACATTAGTAACTTTGCCGTAACAGATTTACTTGACATCTAAGCCGAGAATGAAACTATGCGATTCTATATTTCTTTTATAAGGGACCATGTTCTGTCCGCTTTTATGTATTATTTGGCCAGATACCGTGTATCTGCAGAAGTGAGGCATTAAAAAAATAGGTGAATGTTAAAGTGATACACGAAGAACGTTTGCAAAGCAAAAATACAAAAACATCTTGAGATTAAATAAAGCTCGAAGCATTCAATGTGTGTCATATTTTTCGCAACAATATAATAAATACTTATAGTGAAAAAACAGTAACCTTAGATCTGTATGGGTCTTGAGGCACATGACTGTTAAAAACCTGTAAAATATATAAAATATTGAAAAATGGAAAAGACTATGGTGTCAAATTATTTACCCTGAATGTATATCTTTCTTTTTTTTTAGAATTTCTTATCGTGTAAACGACAAACATACGTTTAAAAGTACAAATATATATATATAGGAAGAAGAAACAGGTAGATCGAATTCTGTTCTTTTAAAGAACTATGTAACAATACTATACATACAGGACTAGCAGGTGTTCGTGGCCAACCAGGACTGTTCATGTCGGGATATTCTTCATGGATTGAATTGATACTCGCGGCACCAGGTGATGGAACTGTACTCTGCGGTGTGGTTGGATGGCTGTGATACCCTCCCATCATTTCTTTCCGGACCTTTGGTGTGAATGCTGGATCTTCCCCAGAAGCTACACAGAGATGAGAATTTATAGATTTTTCTAAGAAATAAAGAAGTACTTTCTGACATTTTCTACTAACCAGCCGATGCATTTGACAATGTGGATTGTTGAGAACCCTCGTCTAGAGACGTGCCATCAGGACCAGTCGTTATTACGGATGTAACAGTACCACTTGAAGTGGATGTGACATTAATCGATGACGTTACTTAAAAAGGAAATACATATTTTTAACACTACTAACACAATAGAGAAGCGAAGTGAAGAATTTAAAAGTGCAAATACCTGAAGCCGTTGTAGTTATGCCATTATCGTTCGAGGTTTCTGTGGTGAGGTCCGAATGACTGGTCGAAGTTGGCGTTGAAGTAGGATGCGAATTAGGAGTGGTACTTGGTGGAGGCATTGGACTTCCCTCGTGGTTCAGAGGTGGTGTAGCTGCAGGGGTATGTAAATGTGGTACAGCCGAACTTGCTGGAGGTGGTTGACTGCTAACGTGATTGGGCGAAGGTGGAGGAGGGCCCATGGAGCTTGCTGGAGGTCCCATGTTACCAATCACTGTCACACCAGGAGTACCAGGTGGTACCATACCTGCTGTGTTGCTGCTTCCATAAACTTGAGGTGGCCCAGGGCTGGGTGGCATACCAGGTGGTACACTATTAAATCCCATTTTATGCTGAAACCAATAAAAAAGGCGTTATAAAATAATAGAACTGCAAAAATTTGAAATTCATCATTGATCAACTTTAAAATTGTTTTGTAAACTTACCGTATATGGAGGATATTGCACCAAGTTGTTGGGTCTGTTGGGAGCCTGATATTGATTATTAGGTGGTGGTTGTGAATTAGCTGGTGATGGATATCCTTGTGGAAATTGTACATGTGGTCGTGGAGGAGGATAGGTACTTTGCGCGTGATAACCCCCAGGCTGACCAGCAGCCGTTCCACCAGCTGCATACCCCATCCCACCACCCATTGGGTTTATTCCACCAAGATTTGTTGCACCAGGTCCTGGTTGAACTACACCAGGACCGGTGTTATTCATTTTATAGCTATGCATATGTGGTGAAGGACCCAATGGTTGCTGGTATGCTACTGGAACAATAAAAATTGACACGTTTAATGATTTACATGAATATCCAGGGATCTATTATCTTTATAATATTATTTACCCTGTGTTGTCATAGGAGAATGACTCATTCGTGCTGGTCCACTACCATCTGATTGGCTACTCGACGGACGTGGAGGCATCTGAACAACGTTTTGTTGGCCTACAAAAAGGAAACATGTTGCAGCAACAAGAAAATATTATTTCCTTCGTTTTAGAAGAATTATATGAAACATTAATGTTACAGAACAATTTTTAAACTTGAAATACACGAACCAACAGCAGGGGACATTGAGCGAGAACCTGTAGATCCTGTAGGTGAAGGGGTTGGTCTCATCCCCTGTGAGTTTGGTGTTCCTGGACAAGCTGGTCCATTCGAACTATCGTTACTGTTTTGCCCAGATAACTCCTGTAACATAACAAATGAAGTAAACTACAATGGAGTCAAGAGAGCAGTTTATGTTATACCGAAGGATGTATACAATGTCGCGTTCGTATACAAAAGTTATCTATGCCGTATAGAATGAGCCAAAACATAGTTGTGTCGTAAACGAAAGTAAGTAGATAAGGGTTATGTATACAGAAGTCACTTTCGAACGATCGCATAATAGGTTATTTTTCATGTCGTTCGTCGATCACTTGTACATGTTCCATTGAGCCACGATAGAAAACACGATATTTTCAAGGAGAAGAGGAAATGACTAAACAAAGGAAAAAGAAAAGTTTCGTTCGGAAACCTTCGCGAAGAAACCCACTTTGCAAGAGACGCGTTAATATTCACACTTAATCTACACAACACGATCTATTCGCTGTCATATTTTGACCACGAGTCAAATCAGAAATACACACTACACGCGGCATTCGCTATACTAATCGTACGGTGCAACATAACACGTCATATACACACGCACATGTCTCCATGATATTTATTCGTTTGAATGTACGTTCATGTATATACACACGTAACACTTCACACAGGTCGTTACAATGATACATCGAGAGCGAGAGAGATAAACAGTGCGCAGGATGAAGGGCGAGGAACAAGCGAGGGAGGGGAGACTGTAAGAGAGAGAGATAGACAGAACGTGCAAGTTCGGTGGTAGAGAAAGAAGGTGAGTAGAAGATAGATAAATGGACAGAGACGGAGAACGAACTATGTAAGTGTAAGTGAGATAAAGACAAGAATACAGAGTGGTAAGAGGAGAAGCGAACGTACGAGAGAGAGAGAGAGAGAGAGAGAGAGAGAGAGAGAGAGAGAGGAAAAGACCGAGAGAAAGAGGGACAGAGAAAGAATAGGAGAAAGAAAGAAAAGAGCACATCATTACACCTACCAGACAGTGGACAGTTCATCCGTAGAGAAGACGATTAGAGACTTCCTCGGATGGATCACGGAACGTATAGCATAGACAGTGTTGGACACAAGGACTCTCGGCATGACGCGAGAATCGAAGGAGAGGCGTTACCCCGCGCGCACTACGGCAAAACCGACCGTGGACGACTTGTACGTTCCCCGTACGATTTTCACATGTTTTTACGGGAATCTCGTGGCTAAAAATGACAGCAGAGATCCGCGCTCGGATCATGTGCAGTCGAGAGAGTCGGTGATTTCAATGGAACCGCAGGAGAACGGTCATAACATTGTCAGTACGTTATAGAACTGCCTACTGGTTCACACACCGTGTGCCTTGCTCGACCATCGCATGTTGTGTCAATAAGTCCCACCGAGCAGTTTCGTATCGCGAGGAACAACCCTCCGATATTCTCGATCTGGGAACAGCTCCTCTCGATCGATCGGATCAGAAGTCCACGAGCAAACAACAGACTCGAATTTCGGAGCGTTGATCGTCTACGTACGTGTACATGGCCAGAGGGCAAACGAAAAACGTGATTCTTTTTATCGAATGTGGGTTCCGTGACTTCGGTTTACAAGATTTCGCGTCTAGCTGCTGCTCGTTGGAGGGCGTTCTTTCGTGGCGCGGCAAGCGTTCGGTAACCGTCGGCCGTTCCCGTCGCTTCTCGCTGAAAAGCACCCGTGTGCTCCAAAAACCCCGAGAGAATACGCGATAGAGAGAAAACTACTCCAAAGTCCAAACAGTACGAGGGTGCAACTACTCCTTTTTCTCAAATCTATTAATCAAATTCCCGCGAATTCACGTTGATTCCGACCGATCTGCCTATCGTATTTCAATTCTCCCTCCTTCGATTCTCTCCTGATCACGACCAACAAAAACTTGTTTTACTCGCGCTTAGTAAACACTTCGACATTATCGGCTTGGATAAATTAAATTTCGGGTAAACAGTCGAAGATGACAAGTGGAAATGGAAAATTTGAATGAAAAGATGATACTTTCACATTGTCCCGTTATAACGTTAACTATACGTAACGAGGTAGATGATAAAACGTCGGTATATTTACGTAGTCACGGATGGTATTACGGATATTATATAATAATGTTTTTATCTTTTAATGCTGTAACAACGTTATCATTGCAGAACAAATTCAATGGCACGACAATAACAGTTCTAAATTAAAGTACGTTCAACGTTTCTAGTACGTTACTCTATCGCAGAAAACTGAAACCCTTGTGTATTCGAAAAGGCACGTCAGTTGAACAGTGGTTGATTGGGGTTATAGCGTTTCAAAGACAAAATCAGAGAGAACGGAGCTAGATCATTGTTTGAAGCGCAAAATGATGAAACGGAAAATTCTTAGATCGGTGGAGAGCAAAGAATTTCAATGGAGAAGAAGTACGACTGATTATACACGAGAACCAGTAGCTCGTTTTTAATGTCACACAGACTGAACTGTTCATCGAGCGTTTAAAATATATTCGACACTTTTCAGCCGTGTCATGGGAATACGAGAAGTTCGATAGCATGTCGCGGAGTGACAGTTGCATGATCTAACGAACCGAATATAGCTGAACGATATAAAACGTCAGAAGCGTTGGTGGGGGAAGAACTGCCTCGGATATATTCTGTATNGAAGCGAACGAGAGAGAGAGAGAGAGAGAGAGAGAGAGAGAGAGAGAGAGGAAAAGACCGAGAGAAAGAGGGACAGAGAAAGAATAGGAGAAAGAAAGAAAAGAGCACATCATTACACCTACCAGACAGTGGACAGTTCATCCGTAGAGAAGACGATTAGAGACTTCCTCGGATGGATCACGGAACGTATAGCATAGACAGTGTTGGACACAAGGACTCTCGGCATGACGCGAGAATCGAAGGAGAGGCGTTACCCCGCGCGCACTACGGCAAAACCGACCGTGGACGACTTGTACGTTCCCCGTACGATTTTCACATGTTTTTACGGGAATCTCGTGGCTAAAAATGACAGCAGAGATCCGCGCTCGGATCATGTGCAGTCGAGAGAGTCGGTGATTTCAATGGAACCGCAGGAGAACGGTCATAACATTGTCAGTACGTTATAGAACTGCCTACTGGTTCACACACCGTGTGCCTTGCTCGACCATCGCATGTTGTGTCAATAAGTCCCACCGAGCAGTTTCGTATCGCGAGGAACAACCCTCCGATATTCTCGATCTGGGAACAGCTCCTCTCGATCGATCGGATCAGAAGTCCACGAGCAAACAACAGACTCGAATTTCGGAGCGTTGATCGTCTACGTACGTGTACATGGCCAGAGGGCAAACGAAAAACGTGATTCTTTTTATCGAATGTGGGTTCCGTGACTTCGGTTTACAAGATTTCGCGTCTAGCTGCTGCTCGTTGGAGGGCGTTCTTTCGTGGCGCGGCAAGCGTTCGGTAACCGTCGGCCGTTCCCGTCGCTTCTCGCTGAAAAGCACCCGTGTGCTCCAAAAACCCCGAGAGAATACGCGATAGAGAGAAAACTACTCCAAAGTCCAAACAGTACGAGGGTGCAACTACTCCTTTTTCTCAAATCTATTAATCAAATTCCCGCGAATTCACGTTGATTCCGACCGATCTGCCTATCGTATTTCAATTCTCCCTCCTTCGATTCTCTCCTGATCACGACCAACAAAAACTTGTTTTACTCGCGCTTAGTAAACACTTCGACATTATCGGCTTGGATAAATTAAATTTCGGGTAAACAGTCGAAGATGACAAGTGGAAATGGAAAATTTGAATGAAAAGATGATACTTTCACATTGTCCCGTTATAACGTTAACTATACGTAACGAGGTAGATGATAAAACGTCGGTATATTTACGTAGTCACGGATGGTATTACGGATATTATATAATAATGTTTTTATCTTTTAATGCTGTAACAACGTTATCATTGCAGAACAAATTCAATGGCACGACAATAACAGTTCTAAATTAAAGTACGTTCAACGTTTCTAGTACGTTACTCTATCGCAGAAAACTGAAACCCTTGTGTATTCGAAAAGGCACGTCAGTTGAACAGTGGTTGATTGGGGTTATAGCGTTTCAAAGACAAAATCAGAGAGAACGGAGCTAGATCATTGTTTGAAGCGCAAAATGATGAAACGGAAAATTCTTAGATCGGTGGAGAGCAAAGAATTTCAATGGAGAAGAAGTACGACTGATTATACACGAGAACCAGTAGCTCGTTTTTAATGTCACACAGACTGAACTGTTCATCGAGCGTTTAAAATATATTCGACACTTTTCAGCCGTGTCATGGGAATACGAGAAGTTCGATAGCATGTCGCGGAGTGACAGTTGCATGATCTAACGAACCGAATATAGCTGAACGATATAAAACGTCAGAAGCGTTGGTGGGGGAAGAACTGCCTCGGATATATTCTGTATACTCCCCACCATCAATCCGAGCGAATCATACGCACGCTCTTGCTCGCTCCTATGCTCGTGTAACCTATGTTGCACATCGGCCTCTCACTAACCCGCCCATCTACGTTGGAAGAAGCGAGAGCACAAACATAGAGGAGTGGGGATGCGTGACATACTCGCGTGCAAGTGTATGCGTTTGGAAGGGATACAGAGGGAGGGAGACGGAGAAAAAGGGGTAGGGAGGGGAAGCCAGAGAGAGAGACGGATGAGAGGGAGACCACACACGTATGCGCAATGGCGTACACTTACACTACACTACAGACTGTGGTGTAGAGCGAGTAACTGTGTGTGAGAGGGAGATAGAGTGAGTGGGAGTGAGCGAGAGAGAGAGAGACAGAGAAGGGGAAGTCGCTAATATCTGGGGCTCCAGCGGCCGCGCAACTCGCGCCCTAATCGAACTCTACAAGTCGCTTATTCTCCATCCCCACTTCCCACACCCTGCCCCTCCTACCGTAGCCAAGCCATACTCGAGAGGTCTCCCTTTCGCTCACTCATGCTTGCTCTTTTCACGAGGGAAGTATTCAAGTACCTCCGTCCACTGTATCCAAGATCAAATGGCACTTCATGGCAACGTGAAATTAGAATTGCTCTGCAATGTCGGCAATATCGTCCCACATAAGACTCAATTCTCATGCCTCTTTTCGTGTCTTTCCAATTTCCAATCAATTGATACAAACAAAAACAAGAGAAAAGAAAAAGACGAAATAACAATGACACGTGTGTACACGTGCATTCACACGCATGTGCCGTATAATTATGACTACAGTTACGACTCGAGGTGAGGCACGTGAAATTTCTAATTCGAATAATTTAAGATCAACGCTTTACCGAAGAAAGAGACCTCAGAGCGTGTTTCTTTTTCATTTTTATGATTTGATATAGCAAAAACACTTACCCCTGAATCAATTCCTTGAGTATTTGGTGTTGTGGATCTTTGCTGCAGATTGTGGAAACTCTGTAACCATGAAGATAACTTATATAATGTTTGTAACGATTTATACATGTAATTATAAAAGAATATTGTTACTACAGGAGCACATTTAACATAATTGCTCGTTTTTCTACAAATTCTAGAATCTTACTATTTTTATAATTCATACACAGACATGTTTTGATTATTACAAGTATTTTAAAGACTTTCTTTCTTATTCAAAATTATGTGCACATAATTGCACGTGATTTTTAATGTATATCATGAAAAGTTTGAACATAAGAAGAGTACTTGAGTAATGAACAAGAGACATAGGTTTTGTATAGGTATAAATTACCTGTGATTGGCCAGATTGTGGTTGTGGAGATGCTGAAGGTGGCGGTGCTGGAGATTGAGAAAGTGCACGTTGCGGTGACTGACTGGAAGGATTGGCTTGATTGGATGGAGGCGGTGGTGGATTTGGTGGTCCACCTTGGTTCCATCCTCTCTGCTCTGTGTATAGACTGGAAGGATGACTGGTTTGTGTGGTGTATGAGTTTATCTAAAAAATACAAGTTACCATTAATTACCTCTTTTTGAAACATTCACAAAGTACTATATAGTTCACAAAGTAAATGTGAAGATGCTACCTGATGGTGAGTATATGGTGCATGGGGTCTTGTAGGAGAAGAATAACGTTGCGTGTACTGTTGATATGGCATAGGAGTTGGAGAACTTGGTCCTCCAGGCCCTGCATGTAATCTTGGTGACCCCTATTTTTCACAGAACATTGTTATATTTTTAGATATGTGACAAAATTCAGAATGTTATGATTAAAAAGACAATAGGGCAATGAGCATCAATCGACCAACAACCAAACATATTTCTTATCCGTTCGTAAATATGATTTCTCTGGTGTTACATATAAATAGATTCGTAAGAAGTTACCGTCTGTGGTGGTCGTTGACCAGGTTGAGCATAAACTGGAGGAACAACCGGCGGTCGTTGAATAGGCCAGGGTTGTTGATAAGTCTCTGGTCCCATTCCAGGATAATTTCCATGAAACCGATGCACTGGCGTAGATGCCTGAAGTAACTGATTTAATGTCGGTGTTGGACCAGTGGCTTGCGATATACTTTGGCCAGACAGAAACCTTGGCTGACCCGGAAAGCTGGTCGGTGTAGCCCCTACGTATGCCAATCGGGATTCAATCTTGGAAGCTGCATAATGCTCTTCCATGTCTGCTCGATGGACTCTTTCACTTTCATGTATTAAGTGTTTACCATGATACTCCAATTGTTTCCCTGGAAAATCTCCATGCTTTCCCACGTATTCCGGTATCTGCTTGGCCGGATAATCGGTCAACGACTTGGAGGGAAACTCGTTGGATTTGTTAGTATACTCCTCCGAGTAGTCGCGTATTACATTCGACGTGAACGGATGTCCGGGATGGTTCGGATGACCGGGCGCGTCGAGAGGCTCCTGCTTGCCGATAGTTTCTTGAGGCGCCTGGCCAGCCTCTCTGGGTGATTTTACCTCACCGGCAGTGTGTCCACCAATGTCCTCGCGGTATTGACTCATCTCGAAACCCGTGTCCCCGCCGCGATTCACATATTTAAGCAGCTGGGCCGCGCCCCGGGGCACTTTATCACCCGGCTCTGGATCCAGCTGCTGCTTCGCGTTAACACTCGCACTATTCCCACCGACTTGCGGACGTTTCTGTGCGCATTTCACGGACTCGTTCAGCTTCACATCGTTTTGTTGGCTCTCGGCTTGCGTCGCAGCCATGTTCTCCTCTCCTCACGGAGCCATCGTCGTCTCATAAACTGGCCAATCGCGGGACCTCGTGTGTCTCGCGTACTATGTGCTCGAAATCGAAATCCTTTCCGGTTGAATCTCTCCTATCGTGCCCAACACTTTCCACCACATCCTCAGTCAGACCAGTAAGCACTAAGCACAGTACTAACAATTTTCGCTTCCTGCCGTTTTCAAAGTAGAAGGAACCAAAAAAAAAAGTCGTACGCGAACGTCAAAAGCAGCGTCGTACTTATTACGCCATCTCGTGGCTATGCCGTGCAATCGTCTCTACCTTTAAACCAGCGTTTTCAACACGACGATGTTTTCTCGGATCACGGTTTCTATCGAAAAGCTATATCGTTGAAGATTTTTCACAGGGGCAAAACTTCGAAGTTCTTCAGTAATCAGTTTTCAGTGCGCAAGTGTCCGTAAGTGGATAGTGAATTTGTATAGTCTCTCAATTTTATATGATGCAAATGTACATGCGTACACGTATACAAGTTTATATACAATGAATGTAGCTCCAAAATATTATTGTCTTGTTATTCAAACTTTAACTTTTTACCGCATTATATTTCAAATCTGGCCATATCTCCAAATGTTTCCAACTTCATCCATGCAGACTTTTGGGTCTCTCGCTTCGAAGAACAATTTAAAAGTCAGAGATATAAACATGAAAAAGTAGCAATACTGTCGGTATGTAAGTTCAAAATTTTGGGATTACGATTACACTGGCATCAAATGTTCTCAAAGGAGTTACACCTCTATAGCAAGTGTCTATATGATTTCCGTATGAAAACTATCCTTTAATACTGCGTTTCTCAACTTACAACCGCGTTAAATTTTTAATGAATCGTAAAACCAGAGATGTCATCTCACGCTAAAGTAAGGGAGGTGATTAATGTGTAAGAAAAGTGATTAAATATTATCTTTGTTTCTAACGTGTATATAAAAGTTTTTAATAAATATGAATCAAACTAATTTACTAATTTTTATAATTTTGAAATTGAAGTATCTGTTATAAATGAGTGGCAAAGTGAAAAGGTTGAGAAGCACTACTTTTGATATGTAAAACAAATGTGTAACTAAGTTCCCATAATTTTATTGACAGTTATTAAATCATCCTCTTTTTACCAATAAAATTTTCAAAATTATTTTGCATTTGGACAAAGGATGTAGAAAATCAATTGTAACAGGAGATACATTAGTTACATCTTTTTGTTTTGCGATCATGAACTATTCATTCTGGCGCAGACGCAATAGTTATCGTGCTACAGTACGAAAAACTACGATATATGTAATAACGTTATGTTTCTGTGTATTTAATGTGTATTTTCATTTTTTACGTTAATAATAATTAAGTAGAGATTGGCACAGTGTAGGTGTAGTTTTAAATTCTGCGATCTTCATGCAAACGATAATGAATTAAAAACAAAAATGATACATCGCATTTTGTATTCATGACTAAAGAATACAAATAAGAAACGAGTAGTAAAATCTGTCCGTAGTTTAAATTAATATAAATTTAAAACTCCTATAATAATTATGACAATGTCGCTGATTTTATACAGTAAAACATGAAATGATATGATAAATGTATGCAAAAAATTCTGCATGAAATCAAGTGGTTGGAAGAAGAAAGAAACAATTTTAAAAGTGTTATATGTACGTACTACTGTATTATGTATATCTATACATATAAATGACAAGTAAATTATAACATGACATATATGTATTGCGATTCATTGGTGACGATGAATGGTTCGCTACGTGAAATTAATTATGAACGAGTGATTTAGTCAGGAGTGAAAGGTAGAAATTTTAATAAGAATATTATAAAGACTGATAGTGATTGATACGACACGACTATATTTGTATCGTTACATACGCGTGTATCTTATCGTGTATGTGTGTTGGTAGTCACTATGTACATACGCACGTCTACGCGGCATTTCAATCATACGTGGCAAAAACAAGAATAATTATTTTATAACTTTACTCTAACAAACTGATAAGTAAATAACAGGTAAGTCTTTTGTATAAAATCTTAAGAAATTGTGTATCGTAATCGAAAATATTTATTATGTTAACTTTTACATGTTATTTTTTCATTATACTTTGACATAAATTCACGACGATCTTAAATAAATGTTTATGCGAAATCTAAGTGTCTTTCTACATTTAACATTTTTTTGCTTAATCTTTAATTCAATGACAATATGTATCATTGTTTAATTGACAAGATGTCATTTTTGTTCAAATTATCTGTAGTATTAATGACGTTTTTTAGATAACAGTTCTGTTAAAGTTTTATCCAGTTGCAAATCCATGTTGTTTTATATCTGTCGGGACTGAAAAACCAAGGAGTAATGCAACAGAAAAAGAAAAAATTAGGTACAATGAGGGCATTAATTCTTGTTGGTGGATATGGCACCAGATTAAGACCACTTACATTAAGTCGGCCTAAGCCTTTGGTCGAATTTGCTAATAAACCAATGCTATTGCATCAAATAGAAGCTCTGGTATGTTATATTTTTCTTCATGTACTTAATACTCTACCTATCGGAAGTTCATTAAAAATTATACAAACTAATGGTCACATTGTTGAATCACAGGTAGAAACAGGTGTAACCGAGGTGGTATTAGCAGTATCTTATCGTGCAGAGGAGATGGAAAGAGACTTAGGCGAGGAAGCAAAGAAATTAGGTGTACATTTAGTTTTTTCACATGAACCAGAGCCTCTTGGTACTGCAGGACCGCTTGCACTTGTACACGATCTATTAAGCTCAGGAAACGAGCCATTTTTTGTTTTAAACTCTGATATCATTTGTGAATTTCCATTTAAGCAGTTACTTGATTATCATAAGAATCATGGTAAAGAAGGTACTATAGTCGTTACTAAAGTAGAGGAACCATCAAAATATGGTGTTGTTGTATATGCGGACGATGGTAAAATAGAAAGCTTTGTAGAAAAGCCACAAGAATTTATCTCTAATAAAATCAATGCAGGTGTTGTATTCTCCTTTGATTAATGAAATTAGATGAGAGTCAAATTAGTGAAGTTAGGTACTAGCATCTAACAAAGCCTAAAAATTATTTTTCAGGCATATACATTTTTAATCCGAGTGCCTTAAAAAGAATAGAACTGAAGCCGACTAGTATAGAAAAGGAAATATTTCCATTAATGGCCAGAGACGGAGAGTTGTACGCAATGGAATTAACAGGATTTTGGATGGATGTAGGGCAACCAAAAGATTTTCTCAAAGGTATATATTCTGAAAATTATATTTGCTCGTAAATAATGTTTACATTTACTTGATACATTTGCATTCTGTTTATGCAGGAATGAGCATGTATCTGACATCCCTAAGACAAAAATCTCCTGAAAAATTGTACTCTGGTCCTGGTGTAGTAGGAAACGTTTTAATAGATGAAACGGCGACGATTGGCAAAGATTGTAGGATAGGACCCAACGTCACCATTGGTCCCGGTGTTGTGTTATCCGATGGATGCTGTATCAAACGAAGTACAATTCTTAAATCAGCGATAATAAAGGAACACGCATGGCTAGACGGGTAAATTTCATCATCCATGTTATCTTCTTCATGTATTTATCTTATTTATTATAATTAAGAATTGTCTTATTTATCTAATTATCGTTTTATTCATTTGTATAATGAGTTTTGATATATTGTCTTAGTTGCATCGTTGGTTGGAGAAGCGTCGTTGGCCGATGGGTACGCATGGAAGGTATAACGGTTCTCGGTGAAGATGTAATCGTGAAAGATGAATTATATATCAACGGAGGTCAGGTTTTACCTCACAAGAGCATTTCCAACTCTGTGCCAGAGCCTCAAATAATCATGTGACTAAAGACAATATTTTGAATTACCACACTGAGTATGATAACTGAGAGACCAATCGCGTGTTCTTCTCTGAAGAAAAAATTTTGTATCAGCTTTTTAAAATATGTGTAAATCAGCTCGAATATTTATAGTAATTTGTAACGTTTTTACACTTACAATTCAAATCAACTTTATCGGCAATCCTCGTACTACTATAGCAGCCGCAGTCATGTACTGAGAACAAACATTTTTCGATTTTGCTACTGCCCTCAACATCTCGGGCTCTGGAGACAAACTTGTCGTATTGCTTCGTGAATTTTTCACCAATTCTAAACGTGTGAAATTTGGATGAATCGTAGCATAACAGTAAAATTAACTGACAAATTTTTTGATTGTACAAAATATGTCATACTAACGAAAGATTCCCTGGCACCATAAATTAATGTCTACATCGGCCCACGAACTACTCGTTAATGACGGTATCCAGCTACTAATGAAATTTGCAGTCATTTTATCGGTGTCAGCATCGGTGACTTCCCACAACATACCAAGTACGCAAGGACTATAAATAAAACATGAATGACTTTCTTAATATTTCAAAATGGACACGATCATTTTTTGTAACTTCTAATTTACTACCTGCTGGCTATTAAATACTGATTCGAGACACCATATGGTGGATAACGTCCTCCTATTGGAAGTAGTTTTACACTGCTACAACCGAATAATAGAACAACTGCTTTCACTCTTAGACGTTCAATTTGTTCTCTAGGTAAGTATTGTATTCCATTACCATGACCACTATACATTAATATATCGTGATTAACTAAAGCATCTTCGAAAACATCTACTTCTGGTTCAACATTGTACAAGCTTTTCCAATTTGGTAACCAGTATTCAATAAACAGTCTTAAACGTTTTTCCATTTTAGGCAAATCGTTTGACGGATTAACTATACACGTACCCATGTCATTTTTTATTTTAATTATTTTACAACCATTTTCTATTGTGTTTTCATGTTCTTTAAAAAGAGCGTAAACAATATGTAATGATGGAAAACGAGTAATAGGGTGACAATTTACAATTTCCATAGATTCAAAGGGTATATAATCCATATGCTGAAAAAGATTAACAAATATGCGAATATTAAAAAAAGTATAATCTATATGCACATTTCATAGATATTTTTAAACTTACTTCATCAACAATTAAAACTAATGTTTTTCTAACTGCATTCTTAATCTCCTCCATAATTTTCAATTTTCCATATATAGATAATATGATATTATTTGCAAGTTTATCATAACCAGTAAGCACATACTTAACTGCACGTGCTATCTCTTCTCTTGTTAAAAAACATGCAGTTAAAGCCACTTTTCTTAATAACCACTTTGTACGCTTCGATATGTTCTTACTAGAAAATATAATTCTATATAGTATTCTGACTATCACAATTAAATTATAGACCAACAGCTTTACTTACTGGTTTTTGTTGTCCAATATAAGTTTGTCAATCGTTTGAACAATGTTTTCTGTTACATTGTCTTTATCTATAGGGTCTGCGACAAACAAGATTCTCCATTCTCGCAACCATTTGAATTCTAAGGCTTGTATAGCTGTCTATCATACATGTATATACATTTGTATACATGCATAGAAATGATAAAATCTAATTATACACAAATTATTGATGTTCTAAATACCTTCATTGTATTATTTTGTTGATCACGCATTTCCCAATATAATTTGTTGTTTGCATAAGTAGCCTGAAGATCCGACATGTTATGAACAAGTAATTTCTGAATTTCACAACAAATATCATAAGAATCTAACTTTGGTTTTGGTATTGTTATGCACAAAGGTTCCATGTCTTTGGTTCCAGTTGGTAATATGGAAATATATATCTCTTGCATTTTGTTCTCTTGCATTGTAATATCTGTAGGATGATATGGAGCAGTGACTTGGATCAGATACCACTCTATATTTCAAATTAAAATAATATTAACAACAATAATTATAATGGCACATTTGGATCTTTCAAATTCTAATAAAATTTCCGATGTATTAATTTTTGCTAAATGTGGATGCAACAACTGCAAATATAAAATTTGTATGACTTCTTGTGCAAATGAATTTTGTAATCTTTTATAATTCGAAAGTATAATGTGCCTTTGAAGAGTTGAAAATATTTGGTTTACATATCTCACCTTTAGGTAAATCAGAGAGTTTAGCCTTCCAATTATCAGTAAAACTTATATTACTTGTATTAAAATTAACATGGGATGAGTTAAGTCCATAGACCTGTTGATTTTTCTGAATTGTCTTTCGGAATTCCGATTTCACGTATCTGTGTATTGTTTGTTGACGAAGTAACACCGCATGTGATTCAATTAAACGGTTTATAGCTTCCAGTTCATTACACAACTGTAAAAAATATTTCGAACCTCAATATAATGATATACTTAAAATGCTACTCTCTGAATGCGCAAACAGTACCTTTAAATTCAAGATTGCTAGTATTTTATTTAAATTAGAATATTCAACGGTTCCCATGCAGCATATCGCACTCGAGAGAAATTTTTCAATATTACTTTTCATATTTTCTAATGATTCGTTCTCAATTATTTCCGGTGCTTCTTCATTCCCACCAGTACCCAAACGACAGTCGCGAAGAATTTGAAAGATTTCTTCCATATTACTGTACGGTCTTTTAATTTTCACTTATTCTTTATATGTACAATACAAACTTCAATTCTCTATTCCTACATGAAAACTGTTAAACGAATGATTCGAATTCAAACGAACTTGTTGTCATAAGAATACCAACCTAATGCTTACATTTCTATTAAGAAAATATGTTCATGTATGTAACATGATCCTTTTTTTAAAAAGGTAGAATCTTAATTATGTCCAAGGAAAAGGTCTATGTTTAATTGAATGATACTATAATTTCGAAAATATAAAATGTAATTGTATAAATTTTATTTTCATGCAAATAAAAGTCGTGATTTATTTACATGTAAAGAAATTACGGTCGATTTACAATTACGCGTTGAAAACTATATTTCAATTCTACTTTTTACCGTCAGATGGCGTTTAGTTGTTTCAATGTTATATAAAATCTTCTGGTCACCGTTCTACCTCCATTTACTAATTAGGTTCGTAGAGAATGTAGAGAGAAATGGAAAGGAATCAGTCATTGCAAATGGTGGTAGGTTCACGAGGAGAACGTGAAATCGACGATCATCGTTGTTGGGAACGAATGTGCTCATAAATACAAGGTAAAATATTGCTTTTTGTATTTCCATCTATTCGAAAATGTTGATATTTTTTTCTTTTTACTACGACTTGTGCGAAAAACGTGATGTGGTGTATTCTTAAAATCCAGCGTTATTTTTCAATCTACCGTTACCATTAGTAGACTTTCAGTATGATGCTTGTTGGAAATCAGTTGTCGTAGTAATCTTACGATTTATGAAATGAATTTAATTTTATTTATTTGAAAGATTTCATAATATTAATTCGATTTATTAAAATGATTTTGCGTATGGTATTTATTGCAGAATGGCTGTATATTCCCTACGTCAGTAGCTTTTTCATATTCATTGATTGAAAGAGAAAGAAAAGGACAATGTATTTGTATAACTTAACGTTGCAACGCGCAACGGGTATTACCCATGCGGTGCACGGGAATTTCTCTGGTAGTAAGATGCAAGAAATTCTGGTTTCGCGTGGGAAATCTTTGGAACTTTTAAGGCCAGACCCCAATACTGGGAAAGTACATACCCTGTTGACCGTAGAAGTATTCGGAATTGTAAGATCTTTAATGGCCTTTAGGCTAACTGGTGGTACGAAGGATTATATTGTAGTTGGGTCTGATTCTGGACGTATTGTAATCTTGGAATACATCCCAGCAAAGAATGTTTTCGAAAAAGTACATCAGGAAACATTTGGAAAAAGTGGTTGCCGACGCATTGTTCCTGGACAATACCTAGCTATAGATCCTAAAGGAAGAGCAGTAATGATAGGTACTGTATTTATCTCCTTTTCTACTTATATTACTGAAGATATTTAAAGAAAATATATTTTTTACCATATGATTTGATTTAACCGTGTTTCAACTGATCAACACTGATTATACTATTTACTCTGATGGTGCAGCTTTAATATATTTATTTAAAATTTTTGTTATAATTATCGATGAGTACTGACTACATTGAAATTATTTCAGGTGCAATTGAAAAACAAAAACTTGTATATATATTGAACAGAGATCCAGAAGCTAGGTTAACGATTTCCTCTCCTCTGGAAGCTCATAAAAGTAATACATTAGTTTATCATACTGTGGGTGTAGATGTAGGTTTTGAGAATCCTATGTTTGCCTGCTTAGAAATCGACTATGAGGTACTAATATTAAAACTATTAAAGCGATTATAAACTGTTGTATTTGTACCATTCTACAATTGAAGTGATCTCAATTCTATTTTATAGGAAGCAGATAGTGATCCCACAGGTGATGCTGCAGTAAAAACACAGCAAACATTAACTTTGTATGAGTTGGACCTTGGTTTGAACCATGTTGTCCGCAAGTATAGTGAACCTTTAGAAGAACACGCAAACTTTCTTGTCTCCGTCCCTGGTGGAAATGATGGACCGAGCGGCGTTCTTATTTGTTCAGAGAATTATTTAACTTACAAAAACTTAGGAGATCAACATGATATTCGTTGTCCTATTCCTAGGCGGCGCAACGATTTGGATGATCCCGAGAGGGGCATGATATTTGTTTGTTCAGCCACTCATAAAACTAAGAGCATGTTCTTTTTCTTGGCTCAAACTGAGCAAGGGGACATTTTCAAGATCACTCTTGAAACAGACGAAGACATGGTGACCGAAATTAAATTAAAATATTTTGATACGGTACCTGTTGCGGCAAGCATGTGTGTCTTGAAAACAGGATTCTTATTTGTTGCATCAGAATTCGGTAACCAGTACGTGTATATTTATAAGAATTCTAATTTCGATTCGACTTCAAATTTTAAATAACTTCATTTTCTTTTCCAGTTATCTTTATCAAATTGCACATCTAGGAGACGATGACGACGAACCAGAGTTCAGTTCTGCTATGCCCCTCGAAGAAGGTGATACCTTCTTCTTTGCGCCAAGACCGCTTAGAAATTTAGTGTTGGTGGATGAGATGGATAGTTTATCGCCAATAATGGCGTGCCAGGTAAATGTGATCCCTTAACAGAACCTTCAATTCTATGATAAGAAATGAAACATGAGTGCACCCTCAAGAAGGAAGATAATATTTACAGTATCTTTTTTCGGTGGTACGGTGCAAAAGTAAAATATTCTTAGTCGCCTTCATTTTGTCTTTGCAAAATGAAGTTGAACCTAAGAAAGACACGTATAGTATACCACAAATTAAGATAGATGTGAAATATAAATTCGTACTTACAGAATTAGTAAATTCTTGCAGGTGGCTGATTTAGCGAACGAGGATACTCCACAGTTGTACATAACGTGTGGCAGAGGACCACGTTCTACGCTACGCGTATTACGGCATGGTTTGGAAGTTTCTGAAATGGCAGTCAGCGAATTGCCTGGTAATCCAAATGCTGTGTGGACTGTTAAAAGAAGAATCGATGGTTAGTTCGTAAACATCTTACACAGTAGTTGTTTGCATGTTTTTATTATCATATGTTTAATCAACAATTCAGAACAAGTTGTTAATTCTAATGTCACACACAATTACACCTTTATATATAATACATACATACTATTTGATTTAGTACTAGAGTACATTGTAGTGGCTCTATTTGTTTAATCTTAAGTACATTTATATGTCGGTCTTTTTTTAATAATAATAATAATGGGAGTTTTTTTTTAATTTAATAATGGTAGAAACAAATATTTGTAAATATTCGATATCGATACACGATAGGAGCTCTATTGCTATTTTTAAATGCGAATAATTCTAAAGTGATATAAATTAGTGTTTGTAAATGATATTGACGAATCTGGTGGCTTGATACACTCTTATCAAACACCAGTTCTCTCTTTCAGGCTACCAGCATGCTATTGGTTGAACTACAGAACACAGAGTGACTAAAAGGTAAGAACACTCGATTTTGCTGGGGGATATAAGAGCATTGATTTGCACCAAAAGTCCGTCTACTCTTTGTGTGTAGGATCACAGTATGCTCGACGGTCACGAAGACGAATTCTATTATTTTATCCATTTCTCCTGTGTTTTATTCTGCTTAGATATCTTAGAGTGAGCTTTATAATTTTGATTACAGAGGAGTATGATGCTTACATCATAGTGTCCTTCGTCAATGCAACTCTTGTACTTAGTATTGGAGAAACTGTAGAAGAAGTGACCGACTCTGGTTTTCTTGGTACAACGCCGACGCTGAGCTGCTCTGCTTTGGGGGAGGACGCGTTGGTGCAGGTAAATTGCATCACATTTGTCTGCATTATTGCACTACGGTATCTCCGGCACCTGGTCTTACCACGTGACGGTCGCTATAGCTAGTGCTAAATTAAACGAGTTCGTCGCATCGTTGAATGTTTAGTTTCTATCTAAATACTTCTGGTATTAAGGACTCGACAATTTTCTTTAAAAAAAATGGAAATTACTTTTCCTGCGAATACGAAATTATTTCGCTATTTTATTTTAGGTATATCCGGACGGTATACGTCATATTCGCGCTGATAAACGTGTCAATGAATGGAAGGCACCCGGAAAAAAGACTATAGTCAAATGCGCAGTGAACCAGCGCCAAGTTGTCATCGCGCTGACCGGTGGAGAACTGGTATACTTCGAAATGGACCCTGTATGTGAATATATTATTGCTTTATATATTAAATCTTGTTTGCGGATTGCATCGATTGTTCTCTCTGTGAAACCACATTCTCAGAGATGTAAAAGATGCACAAATTATATCACTTATTCGTCTTACGTGTGGCTAGCTCTTAGTCAAACTAGACGAAAAGCGAACATTTTACTGGTTTAGTTTCTTCGATGAATGTCGAATGCATTGTATTTTCTAGACTGGACAATTGAATGAATACACGGAACGGAAGAAAATGCCATCAGAAGTTATGTGCATGGCTCTTGGTAATGTAGCTATTGGAGAACAAAGGTCATGGTTTCTGGCTGTTGGTCTTCAGGACAATACAGTGAGGATCATTTCGTTGGATCCATCCGATTGTTTAGCACCTAGAAGCATGCAAGCCCTGCCCGCGGCTGCAGAAAGTTTATGTATTGTTGAGATGGGTGCGAAAGATGCCAACAGTTCCGAGGAATTGTCACCCCAACAATCAAGCTTATACTTAAACATAGGTAAACGGAATTTACAACAATGTTGTTGGTTTCATACTGGGTGGTCTGCCTAAAGGAGGAGACATTTAAGTAGGCCACACTATCGGCAGACTGTTGTATCTAACATTCGAACCGAAGCAATATACGTTTATAATTTATATTTGCATCCTCTTTAGGTTTGCAGAACGGTGTGTTATTAAGAACAGTATTAGATCCCATTTCCGGTGATCTTGCGGACACGCGTACACGCTATCTGGGATCTCGACCTGTGAAGTTATTTAGAATAAAAATGCAAGGGAACCAGGCGGTGCTCGCAATGAGCAGCAGATCGTGGTTGAGCTACTATTACCAAAACCGTTTCCACTTGACGCCGCTGTCTTACGAGAGCTTGGAGTTCGCGTCGGGTTTCAGTTCTGAACAATGCCCCGAGGGGATCGTTGCAATTTCGACGAACACTCTAAGAATTCTTGCTCTTGAAAAGTTAGGCGCCGTATTCAATCAAATCAGCTTTCCTTTGGAGTACACACCAAGGAAATTCGCCATCCATTCGGACTCCGCGCATCTGATAATTATCGAAACTGAGCACAATGCGTACACAGAGGAAACGAAACAGCAGAGGAGATTACAAATGGCGGAAGAGATGCAAGAAGCAGCAGGTGTCGAAGAGGCAGCGGTAGCAAGGGAACTAGCGGAGGCCTTCTTGTCGGAAGAACCAAACGAAGCTGTGTTTGGTGCACCAAGAGCTGGTCCCGGTTTATGGGCATCGTTGATAAGAATAATTGCACCCACAACAGGACAAACCTTTGAGATTCATAGGCTTGAGCAAAACTTGGCCGCTTTATGGTAAGGTTTGAATATTTGTGTACGTTTTGGTTTTTATAGTTCAGAGAAAGTGTAATTCAATTGTTTATAAATTTATATTTCAGTTTGAGTCTGGTGAAATTCGCTAATCAAGGCGATCAACTGTTTCTCATCGTTGGCGTCGCCAAGGAGTTTCAGTTAAATCCCAGAGTTAGCAGTGGAGGTTTCCTGTATACGTACAAGTAAGTCTCATTCAAAAACATTATTCACACATTTCCAAGACCAAAATAGATAATAAAGGCAATCCAGACACGATTGTTTGAGCCTGAACGTTTCTTTAACATAGTGATCAGTTTATTCCAATTAAACACGACATATATGATGACGAAATTACACAATTACTGTATTGTATGATGATATTCCTGCAGTGCTGACCCTAAATTTAAGTGACTGAAATTTGTACATATTCTACGACGAATACAGTTTTAGCGAATAATATTTTTGTTGTCTAGAGTGAACGCTGAATGTACCAGCCTCGAATTGGTTCATAAAACTAACCTGGACGAAGTACCATTGGCTATATGTCCCTATCAGGGACGCGTATTAGTTGGTGTCGGCAGAATGTTACGTTTGTACGACATGGGCAAGAAAAAATTGTTGCGCAAATGCGAGAACAAGCATATTCCGAATGCCGTTGTTTCTATCAATGCAATCGGCCAGCGAATATACGTGAGCGATGTTCAAGAATCGGTATATGCGGTGAGATACAAACGACAGGAGAATCAGTTGATAGTATTTGCGGACGATACGCACCCAAGGTGGATAACGACCACATGCGTACTAGATTACGACACTGTTGCTACTGCGGACAAATTTGGAAACATTGCTGTTGTGAGTGTTCCTTTGTATTCTTGAGAAATTTATTATAAGTTGAGCAATTCGATTTATGCTTAACGTTGTTACAGATACGATTAGCAAGCGGAATTAACGACGACGTAGACGAAGATCCTACTGGGAATAAGGCTTTATGGGATAGGGGTCTGTTGAATGGCGCCAGTCAAAAAGCAGATACCGTTGCCTGCTTCCATGTCGGTGAAACTGTTATGTCGCTACAAAAGGCTACGTTGATTCCTGGTGGTTCTGAAAGTTTAGTGTATACGACGTTGAGTGGAACTGTGGGCGTTCTTGTTCCGTTTACGAGTCACGAGGACCATGACTTTTTCCAGCATTTAGAGATGCATATGCGTTCCGAACATCCGCCCCTCTGCGGAAGGGATCATTTGTCTTTTAGATCGTACTATTATCCTGTAAAGAATGTGATCGATGGCGATCTATGCGAACAGTTCAACTCGATCGAACCGGCAAAACAAAAGAGTATATCTGGAGATCTTGAACGAACACCGTCCGAGGTGTCGAAGAAACTTGAGGATATCCGTACGCGTTATGCTTTCTAAGGTTCTTACAACGCATTCATTGTCAGTTCGTTTGGAAGCTACATTTCATTTGCCTGCATTCCGTTCGCATCTTTTTCACACATTTATATTTCCCTCTGTTTTTTTTTTGTTTTTTACAACAATAGGCAACCGATAATCAATCAGAAATTACGCACATTATACTTTTTATGTACAAGGGTCGACAAAAATGATAGGTGTAGAATATAACTCACGTCGTATGTAATAAATTAAAAAGTTAGTTTTGAATGTGATCGTAGAGAAGAGTTTAATTTAAGTATACAAAAAAAGCATTCGTTAGTGATAAGGAATTGTATTTTTAAATTATCGAAAACATGTAAATTTTGACATCTCATCTCTTTATACTAGTTTAGAACGAATCCTGATTTCTGGATATTATGTAAGACTAGCTTTATTCCACCGAAGTTTCTTTTAAGTTCTATTTTTATTCGTTTCTCTTATTGTATGTCACATGTTACGACAAACCTCCGATGCGGTGCAATTCTCAAAATACACACGTTTTTTTAAACTACAGAAAACAACTTGTTTCGAGTATCACTTTTCGTAATGTTTGCACATTATGTTCCCGTTAATATTATACTTCTTATCCACAACCTCGCTGCAGTTTACTTACCGTACATTGCTAAAAAAACTATAGACAAACTGTACGCGAACAGTTCAGAAAAAAATGGAAAATGCCTTATCGACCTATTTTAACATTATAAATATAGCGCTCGTAAAGTGAGGTGTACTTGCTGAACATAAATTGCAAAGTTAAAAATGAGATTGACTATAGATTAGATATGACTACTAGATTATTAACTATCTACAAATCTAATTGTTAAAGTTACGTATCTAGATTTCATATATTTCTGTATTCGTCGCACGTTCAATTTCGTTTCTATATTATTGTACACGGTAACGGCTTTAAACCACAAATAAACTAAAGTTTTCGTAAAAGTGACTTCAATGAAAGAGATTACCATTGAATATATTTATATGAATAAGAGAAAAAAAGATGTGGTACGAAATGAAGTATTTAGTTGCTGCAAGCATGGAAATAAATAGAAAGAAGTAAACAATTTAGGCAATCACGCCGGGGTATTACTAACTAGAAGTTATCGAATCAACGATTTTTTTTTATACGTTCTCATTATCGCAAAAAGCTCACAATGAAATTGCTGATCCAACATACGCAAAGCTTTCGGTGTATTTTGCGTCTTATTTTTCGTTTGAATTCCGTGATCTCGTTTTCTTCTCTCTCTTATTGCTGTCGGCTTATGTGCATCTTTTTTGACCTACAATTCATCCCCTATAGCGGTCAGCCGCCGCTATGACTCGCATTTTTTCTCGTGAAGCTCCGAAGTGCGGTTAATCTGCGTACCGAAGCGTATCGAGGGTATAATGCAACGTTATTACCCTCGTTTAACCTTCAGACGTATAACTGGGGTACGAAAGGCTTTAAATGCTCCACTGTGTCAATGAAAGAAAACTTACAGGTCAGTTCTATTTAAACTTTCGCAAACCCTCGGAAATTTAATAGCCGGAGTCCATTTCCAAATATTTTCTCAGGCGCAGCTCAATTACGTTAAAAACATGTCGTAATTAACGCTAGAAACGTCGAGGGGTAAAAGTCATTAGATTCACAGAAATGCATTTAACTTGTCTTTTGCAAGAGAGTTTCATTTTTTGTTCGATATAAATCTCCATCCCGCTTTGGATCGCATAGAAAAAATAATCTGTTATTTCATTAATTCGTGATAAACCATTTTATTAGTTCAAACTAGAGCGTTTACACTATTAGATCAATATTTGGATGCCCATTGAATTGGAATCCGGGTATGCGAACACATTCGACGGACTGTAGGAAGTTGATTCGGAAAACCGAAAGATTGCAAAGCAGACGAGTAAATATGTAAGTACCGAAGTTGTTGCAAGGGATGAAACTATTACGAGAAAACTTTCGATGTTCACTGTGAGAGGAGTCGATAATTCTGACGACTAAGCTAATGCTGAAATTTCAGCTAATAAGCAGATTTTAACTAAGATTGGCATACAACATCTGTTGACAGGAATACGGACTATACATGTATACATGGTTGGGTCTGCCGACAAGTGGATTTGGGTGTCGCGATCGGTAGTTACGTCACTGCGGCATACGTAGCACGGTTTAGGGCGTTGAAACAGGGAGAGCGGAGCGAAGGGGGGGAAAGAGAGAGAGAGGGAAAAGGACCGAACGTCGATCGATGCATTGAGGCGCCAGGCTCTGAGCTCAGCCCCGTTTCGTTCCATCACCCTTACCCCAGTACATGCCCTGCAGCGAACTAGCCCTCCGGGCTTTTCTCTTTTACCGTGCAGTTGCGCATTAACCTCTCGACGGTGTGGAGCTGTGTGCTGTTCGTTCGGTCACTGGACTTTCAGTCCCGCTGCATCGGTCCCCGTTGCATCCGTTGCACCAATTCGGTTTCCACCCGCCTATCGAATCGTCGCAGCCTACATATTCTCCAAGAGAGTCAGCATAACAACCACCGACAATATGTTCATCCAGGATCCTCCGCGGCTTCATCGGAAGTGGTGTTGATTACCGGTATCCATTCGTTAATCGTAATCATGTCGACTGTGTCGGTCGCCAGCAGCAGACGTCATCTCGACGAGCCACTTTCAAGAAGCATCCCTTGAGAGTAAAGTCGCTGGTATTCTGTGAATGTCATCGATTCCGTCTACGTCCTCGGGCTTGCTATTGTGATGTTCGATTCAATGACAGACGATTATGGTAAATCTTTCGCTATCTCTTCTTCGGCGTCCGTTCGTGTTTGCCGTTCGGCTTTAAAGATTCATGCGCTTTTGACATACATTCGAGTGTCCGGGGAACAAATAGATGTACTACGGACAGGCAGCAGTTTTATTTACGCGGGTATACATAATGTGTTACGTCCTTACGAAGGTAGACGTTTATCGGCAGTATAGTTCATTCGTTAGAAATCAAATACTTGCTGTTTTTCTTATTAATTGTTTCCATTGGATCGTATTTATTGGCAGCGTCTTTTCTAAAACGACACAAATTAAGATCGTTACTTGATTCTGCATGGATAAGAACGTTCCGATTTAGATTCGATCTAATCTCGACGAGAGCTACGTTGCGCAAACAACTCGCAAACGAGTGTGTGTCTGTGTGCATGTGTGTGTGTGTGTGGGGGTGGGTGGTCTTCAATTATATTTCTGTTTACTTTTCAGCTTTTCAAAATTTTTGTTTGCAAACACTGAGGACGGGCACCGTGTAAATCGTTGACTAAATGAAAAAAAAGGTTATATCGAGTAGCTCGAAAATTGAAGCAGTTTTGGGAAACGAGTGTTTACACGCGCGCCCACTTCATTACTTCTCTTTTTCATTGTCACATCGAAATATTTGTCGATGTATATTTTCTTATCCACTTGTACATATTCTTGAATAATAATATTTTTGAAGGACGATTGAACTAATTGATGTTTTTTTTGTTGCTTTGTAGGAGGTAGCTGATGCTGGAGGTGGTTACAAGCGAATTCGGATAACAGCCCTGTTTCTGTCGGTGCTTTTGTTCGGTTGCTTCGACTATGCAGCCGGAGGTGATTGCGGTCTGGCTGAGTTGACTTGCAAAGATCGACATTGCGTACCGATCGACGCTTACTGTAACGGGCGAGACGATTGCGGAGACAACAGCGATGAGCCACCAATGTGTTCACCATGCAATCGTACCTACCACGGCCGTGAAGGACGTACATACAAGCTAGATCTTCCAAGACCCGCCGAGGAACGTCTGCCGTTCCTTTGTCATTTGACGTTTACCGCTGCTGGCCAGGGGTACGGAGAATTGGTGCAGTTGTTGTGGGATGCGTTTAGCGTGGGTAGAGTAGATCCAAACACTGATAGCTTTATAGCAAGTTGCCCGGAGGGTTCGTTGCAATTAGCCGAGCTGGGCAGACATTTCACGGGTGGCTCTTGGTGCGGAGCAGGCGAGGGAAAAGCGTCTTATTACAGCGAGACCAGCACCGTAACAGCGTCCATACGGTTGTTTCATGCTCCTCCCGGCGTGCCGTTCGAGTTCCAGTTGCGGTATAGATTCGTAGCACGCAACGAAGCTGTCGCTAGATTAGGAAAACCAGATCTTCCAATTGAAAGAGGCTCCCCGGTGCCGGGCACGTACTGCTCTAGAAATTTTTACGAATGCCATTTGAAGCAGTGCCGACTGCAGAGCCCGAACTATCCCGGCGAGTATCCGAGAAATGCGAGCTGCTTGATCACCATAAGGCAGAAGGAGGTACCCACCTGCAAGCATGCCATGATTTCCGTGAAATCCACGGCGCCCGGTCCAGTCGGAATCACTACAGCCAATAGTTCTCTAAGCGTATGGCAGGATTGTCCACCGGACAAGGACCGCCTCATCTTCCACGACGGTGTTCGCCTAGAAGATCCGATTTTGTTGATCTACTGCGGAGGGCCTTTGCCTAGAATAACTGCCAGGGGCCCAACGATGCAGGTGGAGTTCCGGAGCTCCCCCATAGCCATTCCTCTGGGCGCGTCCGCTCTGCGGCTCGAGCTCGAGATTCAGGTAGTGTACGTTGACTCCGACGGGCTCGATTATGCCAGAGACCCTCAAGGCTGCCACTTTTTTGTAAACGAGACTAGCAAAAGAAGCGGCATACTGCGGGCGCCGCTTCACGCACTGCCACCAAACTCCAGTTGTACATGGAATATAAAAGGGGCCGCCGGAGACAGAGTGTGGATCTATTTTTCTTCTTACTCTCAGAGGGATTTGACGGGCACCGTAGAGAATAACGCCAGTTCTCAATCGGACGTGCCCTGCGCGGTGAAATTGATCTTCTGGGACGGGATACCGAACACCGCTTTACCAATGGCCACGCTTTGCGACGACACGCCTAAGCTGTGCGCGCACGCGGCTTTGAGAAACATCACCAGGAGTACACGGCCGTGCACCAAGGAAGAGAGCTACATGACGGTGGCACCGACTCTGACGCTGCGCATGGAGACGCTGTTAGGCACCGCTCTTCACACCGTTAATTTTAATGTAAGTTGCCTTGCGCATCATATCGAGGCATATCTAATGAGAGATTCTACTCCGCAGGCACAGTATGAATTTATATCGACTCTTCAAGTCGGCGAGCCTTGGGGGGACGGAGTCTGTAGCCGAATTTGGCGGAAAGTCCGAAGCGGGGAGGTAATATCGCCGCGGGACGTCCGGTTATTCGGCAGGGGCGGGTCCTTGAAGTTGGACTGCAGGTATCGGATAGAAGCAGGCACGGACGAGAGGGTGCGGCTGACCTTGCACAACGTCAGCCTCGGCGAGGCAACAGTCTGCACGAGCGAGCCGGACCCTCACACCGGTCGACCACGTTGTGTTCAGGAGATGGGCTCCAGAGAAGCTCGGCTAGTCTTATACGAGGCACCCTGGCGGGACGTTCGACTGCCCAGAGCTTGTCTCTGTGACAACACGTCACACCTTCCCCTGACTCACATCTCCTCTAGCCGAGCTCTTGAGATCTCGTTTCTGATCGACCAGCAGGCGCCGCACGAGGACTTCGAAACGCTTTTCTTTTACGCGAGCTTCGAGCTGGTCCGAGTGCCTGAGTGTCCCAGAAAGCAAAGAGTACGCGGAGAAGGTGATTGCACCAATCCACATGTTTTCCTTATTCATCGACTTGTCCGCCTACTACTGAACCTCTATTTTTTTTTAGGAGGCGAGTTGAAGTTCTTGTCACCGCCGCTGTCGCGACCGGACATCTACTGCGAGGGACTCCCTTGGCTTGTGGAGGCTCGCGACAACAGGTCTCTGTTCGTCCTGACCTGGGGATGGTTCCTGCCTCTAGAACCACCCCCGGCGTCGGAGCAGAACGAGCAAACCAAGTGTCCAACGACCAATCGAGTTCTCCTCTACTCCGGATGGCCGCCCAAGCTGCTAAAGGTGGTGTGTCCTGCAGAACCAGGCGCCAGAGAGTTCACGGTTCACGTGTTCTCTGAAGAGTGGCTCGGGAGCACGGAAGAAGAGGGCAAGTGGCTTGGCCCGCCAAGACCACCTGCGCTTCTTCTGGACTTTGTCGCCAGGGAGTCCGGCCAGGCTGCGGCTTCGTGGCTGGAAATATCGAAGAGCAGAGCGGCCTTGCGTAGACAACTGCGTCTACCCGAAAGGGGGATAGAGAACGAGACTTTGTCGCCTGGAGACTGTCCTCACAGGTGTCCCGAGCTGAGCGCTTGCATTGCTGCGAGTCTCTGGTGCGATGGACGAGCGCATTGCCCATCCGGACACGACGAAGCAAATTGCGGTAACGGTGCGAAGCTCCTCGGGCTGCTCCCATCGGAAATGTGGCTGGTGTTGGCTGGTGTCGCAGGAATCATCGCTGCCTTCGCGTGCTTCTTTGCTGTGCTGATCAGCAGGTGAGCCGTCATTTGCTTGATTCGTTGAAAGACGGCTTGTACAGGCTCGGCATCGCCTGTTGATCGATTTTCCTGTATACAGCAGTGCATAGCTGGCTGCATAATAGTTGGCTCAGAGACACCTGTTGTCGATATACAAAAGTGTACACCGAGTTGCCATTAACCGGCGAAGAGCGAAAAGACTTTCGCTCTTCCCGCCGTCTGGTTGATGAAGACTTTGAAGATCGTTCTTTGTTTTCCAGGTCGAAAGCACGCAACAAGGGTCTTCATTACAAGGGTACAAAGAAAAGCAATAGACCGAGACGCGCGCCTACAGAAGAGACGCTGCTCGGAGCAGCCTCCTGACAACAGCAACCCGGTTTCGTGGAATATATCCACGTCGACCGGGAAACAACCGTTTAGCAATATTTCTCTATGCTTCACCGTCCACTAACTTACCACTGTTCTACGTTTTTCGAACATGTTTCATCCTTTCGAGTATTATTGTTTTTCTAGTCGAATGGTAAGTGGAGTCTTTCAGTTATCCCTGGCTATTGACTGTACGTTTTTGTTTTCTATTAAAGGTTCATGTTAATTAGAAGCGCAATAGCGAGGGACACATGATTTAACGATTTAAGGATAGGTTGTGTTTTCACAATGTTTACTACAGCTGAAGTGGTTGACCTTAGTTGTTAATTGTTGTTACGTTGTTGTGCGTAATCCGTACAATTCAGTTCCATAGAGGTCGGAGGACTTGATTTTCAGCGACGTAGCGGATGCAAAGATAAGTGCAAATAATCTTAAAGTACGTACACAGGAATACATGGATAATTTAATAAAATATCACACATTGCTCAAAGAACGTTGTAACTGCCAAAAAAATACTTTAAGTTCGATTAGCAGTTGTACAATTTTTAGCAACAATGGAAACGAACAATAGAAGAAAGAGAGAGAGAGAGATAGCAGTGAATGTAAAATGTCGTTTAGGAGTGTTCTCGATTTTTGATTTTTAAATATAAGTTACATAGAATCGTGGAACACGGTTTTATATAACAATACCAAAGATTTCTTTGAATGTATATTTAATGTTAACATCTTTCTCGTACTGTTTAGAAATATTTTCGTCTTTCTTCATCGCTGAGCCATACTTTCGATGAACTTACGTATACCATTGTTTGACTTGGAGGAGCTTGCCGAACTCGAGCAAGAAAGGAGGATTACGATTAGTATATCGACAACGATGTCGCATCACGTTTGATCTGTTGAACGGTAGAATGTTGCAGGGCCGACGTTAATAACTTGGCAGGTCGGAGTTAGCCTGCCGGACTATTTTTGTCGAGCTATACGTAAATATATACCATTAAGGGAACAATTGTAGGTGAAGTTCCAGCGCACAAGAAACTCTCATAAATCTGAAGGAAAGAACAAAAAAAAAGAATTAGATGACATTTGTATGGTACAATATTATATAACAGTGTTTCCTCGGCTCTTATTTCTACCGTATGAAAAAAAGTGTTCAATTAACATTCAGAACTGATCGCATCACTTTCATATAGAATATATTTTCATCGCGTGTGTTCGCTTTGATTTTTGTAAACGAATTTCTTTGGTTCGCAATGATATATTATATATCTATATAAAAACGTGAAAAAAAACGACAAAAAAAAAGGCAGCAGTAGCAAAGTATATTCTTACTAACCAAAGGAAATTGAAACTCAGACGATCTATTTAAAAGAATAGAAAAAAGATAGCGACGTATAGAGAGAAGAGCACTTCCGCGGATATTCTAAAAAAGGTTATTCAGAAAAATCGCTGTTATACAATATTTAGTACTATAGGTTTATAGTTGCACACGAACGATTAGAGTCTACTTAGCTGCGACAGAACGAGAAATGGGATAAAATAGCGACGTAACTTACAAATATAAAACACACTCGATAACGTTAGAGAGTTGTTATTCGATTATAATTACTGTTACACGAACGACTAAACACGTATTACTTAAGCGGAGATGGATGCATTCGCCTACTAGGTAGATCGAGACTAGGATATGAATTCGCGCGTGAAACAGAGCGAGAAACGATTCATTGACATTGAGTATTTTAAACGGAGACCTTCGAGAATTCACGAGCTACAATCCGAACGAATAAATCAAACATAGTTTTTAATTGGATGAAATCGTATTGCTGTACGCGAGCCACACACCACACACAGTATAAGGAAGTTACGCGTTAAGTACCACTGTAAGGACTGAAAGTAAATTACAAGAAGCAGTGATTAAGCGAAAGGAAGACAACAATATGTATTATAATTAAGTGCTACTTGAAGAAAAAGTTTACAATTACGATATATCATATAAAATTAGTTTTTAGAAAGTATACAAGAAATTAGGACATTCTTCTACGACGCATCGCGTGATGCGCCCGGCTCCTCGCAGAGAATCGAATGTTTAAGCAACTAGGCGATTAACACTAGATTGTTATTGTCTTATGCGTTTACGGGACTGTTCGTCCCTCCCCCTCAAAGCTCCTTGGAAATAGTTTAAGAAGATTCTTGGCTTCCTTGAAACATAGTAGAATCTCTAATACGGGGAACAAACATTTTCGTTCGACTGCAACTTTTGTAACTTAGTTATTACAGAGATATATTATACATTCGCATAAAAGGACTCGGAGCAGAGTCCAATACAATCGCAACTCGCCGGGAGTCTCGCAACGCGGGCGCGGAATTTCATTTCGTACGCAGAGCATACGTTCGTGTAAATAACGCTTAGGGTACGAGAACTAAAAATGTACGTAACACGGTCCGCGCTTAAAAGTACACTACGAATTCCGATATCTAAATACAAGCGACGATTTACGTTCTCCGCGCCGTCCGGTTCAATGAAAACGAAAGAATCCGCGCGTACCGGAAGCGGTTCTTTCGAGCGACCGGGGATCAGATTGAAAACTTTTACATTTGTCGTATCCTCGACCCTTGATCGAACTATGCGAAGCTGTTCGCGATCGCGTTACAATATTTTGTAAGATGTTACACGCGTATTTTATGATTTCGTTGGCCATCGATTGCGTGTAAATAACGCCTAGGTGCTCGCGTTTCAAAGAGGCTGTGTTGTTATTTTTTAATCGTTTTACTGGGATATCGGTTATACGTTATTTGGATATCCGAATGCTGTCGATTCACGCAGACCGTGTGGCTCAACCACTTTAACAGGTATATTAGAAGAGTTTTGATAGAGAATTCCACGGGGATCGTGTCTCCCCTCGGACATATTCTAATCCGACAAGTACGATCTGTTTCGTTTTTTTCCGAGTCTCGTGGGAAGATACATTTTACGAAGAGCAACGTATACTTAACTAGAATCTACTTTAGTAACGAATTTACCGAACGTAACGAAATGGGAATTGGGGAGAAGGCGCGAGAGAGAGAGGATTTAAATATTACTACACTCACACACTTATACATAGGACGTACGCGTATCTCAACATTTATTACACGGAACGCGAAGGAGGACGGAGGACCTCGGAGGACGTGTCATAGAAAACTTAATGCCTTTTACGCTGTAAGTGTGATCTATGATCCCTTAATAATCTTGTTTCAAGATCAAGAGGATTATCGATCATTGCTCGGTTGTAGTGATAGACATGCCAAAGAGACAGACATAGAAAGAATAATAATTTTAGGATTACTACTTTCTCTTCGAAAGTGGCTTCTTTACTTCCAACGAATCTCGACCGGATTCATTGTTTTCTTTTTTTTTTTTTTTTCGTTTTCATTACGATCAATCATGTTTCCGTTGTCCTTATCGTCGACTCACGTTGACTTATGCGTATGCGTGCGCGTGACACGATACTTTTGTCTCCGATTAGGATCGTCCGTGTCACGAACAATCGTTTTGCGGCGGAACGAATCGACGAAACAACTATATTTCCGACGTTCTCTGTCCCGTGATTAAAATTGTTTGCCAGTCGAAGATCGGTCGTTGTCTATCATTAGTTCGCTTCAGGTTACAAACAGAAAAAGCACGAATAAAACATTGTTGGCAAAATCGAAAATTCTAAATACGATTACAATACCGTTATTTTTGAACACTGGAGGAAAACGATTCGTCGCTTTCCATTGAAAGTTACACTTGTATAGGTACTTTCATATTTAAATAAACATGACAAATCTGAAAGTCTGCCCCCCCCCCCCCCCCCCCCCCCCCCCCCCCCTCCCCCCCCCCCCTTCTTTTTTTCTTCTCCCC